GCTATCTAAGAAAGATTAGAAAGAAAAGTAAATAGATTCCATGTTAGAGAATATCTTGATTTTGCTAATCATGCTAGAAGAGAAAGAAGAATGAGATTAAGATAAAAGGAAAGATGGGAAAACAATTACACTTATTTCTATGGAGGTCTTACAGAAGAAGAATAATTATATAATGATTACTTTGAAACTGATTAAGAGTTATATAAAGATGATGAATAAGTTGAATAAAGAATTGATGAGGCTGTTGCTTAAGTTGATCCTAAATATAGTCCTCTCAGATTTGACTTCTAAGAAGCATATACTCATAATCCTGAAGAAGATTAAACTTCACTTCTTGAAAAGAAATTGTGGAGATTTAAATATAGATTAGCATTTGATTGCACTAAAGATTATTAAGTTAGAGAAAGAAGATTGATTGAAAGACATTTAGCAAGAATGACTAAAGACCCAGAATATATTGCCGTATTCAAAAATCTATAAAATGCTGTTAATTCTGAAAATGAATTTGCAATCTTATAAGCTGAAAAGAATTATTATAATCTAGCAGCTAAAGAAGGATGTAAATTTATTATATTATTTATTTAGTCCTTTAATATAAGGATTACTTTGAAGGAGATTCATCAGCTGAAGTTGAATTAGTTGAAGAATTATACAAAGCTTCACCTTTAGCATTCAGCAAAGTCTTTGTTAATCATTCTGCAAGATTATTCTAATAAGAAGGATACTAAAAATTCCCAAAAAGAGCTTGGAATGATAGTTTAGGATTAATTTAGAATTATGTTTTGGATTTCTAAGACTTTTCATCCAATATTGTACCAAAAGCTCAAAAATTGGCAAATTATGCAGGTTTATAAAATGTATTAATTAAAACTAATATTTAAAGGTACTTCCAGCTGATGAATAAGAGTTGGTAAAACTTGGTTTAGATAAAACTGAATAGATTGCTAGATAAAAGATTGCTTAAGCTTAAGATAAACCATAATTAAATGAACCACCTAAATAAGCATAATAATAAGTACCTCCAAAAGTTGAATAAGAATAATAGAAACCTTAATAATAATAATAATAATAATAATAATAAAAGAAAGGAACATTTACCAAAAAAAAATGATAATTTAATTATTCATTAAATAGAATATTACATAATTATGCTTTAAACTAATATTATATATATTCATCCTTATTGATCTTAATTTTATTCTATTTGCATTTCTTCTCTATTATCTCTATACTCAGAAAACAATTCTTAATAATCAACCTTTTATCGACTTTCTTTTCCTATTGCATGATGGTCTATTTAAACACAACCAGGAGTTATTTATTTAAGGTTTTCTAGAATTTACACACTTTAAATTATTTTAATTAGAATTACATGTTTTTTTCCAAATAATCTTTAGAATTTTACTCTTCCATATTCGAAATTGGTAAATGTAATTTATATTCAGGTCCAAAATAGACTTTGTAATCTGATTCATCAGGAATATTGTCTTATATAGGTATATTCAAGGCAAGTGAAGTTTCATATGTCCAACATCTAGGAACATTTCTAAGTGTATAGCCTCCACCTCCTACCATTATTATTGGAACATTAAATTTCTTTAAATACTCTATACAAGTACCATGTCCTATTATGATTTAATAAATTTACCTTTAATACTTAAGTTGAAACACCCTAATCTATCACCACTAAGACTATCTGTACCTCCTTATAACATGACTACATCAGGTCTGAAATTTTCCATAATTTTATCAATAACTGGTTTAAAAATAAATTAGATTGAATCATCATTTAAACCTTCATTTAAAGGGAAATTAACAGCATAATATTTTCCTTTATCATGTCCAATATCATCAATATGTCCAGTTCCTGGAAAATATTCTTTAAATTTATGAAAAGAACATGTCATCACTCTATCAGTTAAATAGAATGCTTCCTCTACTCCATCTCCATGATGAATATCAATATCTACATAAAGTACTCTCTAATATGTTTTTAATAATTCTAATATTCCAAGTACACAATCATTAACATAACAAAATCCACTTGCCTCACTTTATTTGGCATGATGTAATCCTCCAGTCCAGTTAATTGCAATATTACTTTTTTGATCTGCAATTACACAAGCTGCTCCAACAGATCCAGAAGTTTAACATAAACAAAAATCGAACAATCTATCTAATACTGGACAATCCTCCATAAAATTAACTAAATTCTAAGTTTAATTGTACATCTATATAGTTGATCTTCATGTTGACATTTATTTTCAGGAGTAATTATCTTAATTAAATCTATATATTCTTAAGAATGAAATTAAGTTAATATATCTTCATCTACTCTTTTTATATATGTTTAAACAAAAGTTTAATCCTAAATATTCAATTTTTAATATTTTACAATACAATTCATATATTATTTCAATCCATAGTGACCGACTAAATCATCAGTTATAGCTACTCTTAATGGCTTCATTGGATGTGTTGTAGAATAATTAAATGTCCCAAATTCTTCATCATAGTAGTATGTCACATTCTATTTAAAGAGATTCATCCTCCCAAATAAATTTTAAGAATTTTATTATTGACTTTATAACACTTTTAATTAAAGGATTTTTTAAAATCACTATTCTCCTCTTAAGTGTTCCTTTTTTTGTACTACTCATAAATTTTAATTATATTCTTACTTATTGTATTATTCTATTGTCATTAATGAATTTATGCAATTTAATTTCATTTTAATTAGTTTATCTGTTAATCAAATATGTTATCTGCCAGAGATTAACTTAGCTTTTCAAGAAAAACTATAAAACACTATTCAATAGCTTCTTAAAAACCTATTAGATATGCCACTTAATATTATGGTGATAATGAACTTTCTTCTTCTATTTTTAATTCTGATTATGAATTAATAAGAACAAAAGAAAAGTATAAATAAAAGTGTGAGGAAATAGATATGAAGAAAAACTAACTACATTCTAATCATCTAGATCTGGAATTAAGAGCTGAGGTATCATATACTTTGGTAAATAGAAACTAAGGTAGGGAGAGAATGAAATTAAATATATGGCTGAACTTCTTAAAAAGAAGATTGAATAAATTAAAAGACAAGAATAATAAATTAAGGAAAATCAAATTACATTTGTTGATAAATTCAAAGATAAGGAATAATCAATAATAGAATAATAAAAATTAATCTAAGAAAAGCAAGATTAATTAAATATAAGAGAATAATAATTAATTATTCGTGAACAATCTCTTAAAGAGAAAGAATGCCTTGTATAATAATAAATTAATTACTATACCTAATTTAATGAACGTCTAAAAATCAATTTAGAAGAGCTTAGTAAAAAGGAATGTATTTTTATTATCAATTAAATTTAGAATTTTACATTCAATAAATTAGTAAAATGAATTCAGCAATTGAAACTTTATTATACCATGAGAATCATATTAGAGATTTAGAATTTAAATTAACTCAATAAATATAAGGATTAAAAGATTTTGATAACTAAATTAGGTAAAACTAAATATATATATAAGAATTTAGGTTTAAAATTGTAAATAATAAGAAGAATTAATAGATTAATAAGAATAAGGAATTTTAAAGAGTTAAGATTTGATTAATCGCAAATTACTTTGGGATTAAAAAAATATCACTAAATAACATCTATAATAAATCTCAAATTATATGAGTGACTAAAATTACTTTTGAATAAATTATTTATTTCTTATTGAACATAATTATTTTGTTTAAAACTCAATATATTTAATAATATCTCATTTCATTTACATAATTCTTCTAAATATATTTGAAGGGATTATAAAATATAGATAAAAGTTGAAAGAAAACTCAAAGTACTTTCTTTTTAAATCAAATTATTTTTCATTTCTTTTAATTTTTGATACTCCGTTTTTAAGACTATATATAATTTATATATACATCAATTACAAATTCTTTTGTATTTCATATTTCTAATTTAAAAAATGAATAACTAATGTAGAACAAAAACTATCTTAAGCATTATAAACCTTAAATTATAATTGATAGCTTTAAATAGTATTTCAAGATGTAAAAATATATTTTTGATAATTATTATAATATGACATAGTTTTATTCATTTAAGAACTTACATCACTTAAAATCAAAATGTTATACAGCAGTTAGATTTTTAGGTTGATTTAGTTCCACTTTTAAATTATTAATGTGAATTTATTTTTGGAAATTCCTAATCGATCTCAATTTTTATTTCTAAGTCACAATTAGTTTATGCTGCTTTAGGTACAATTTCTAAAGTTTAATTAACTTAAAGAGCTTATATTTGTTCTTAAATTTATGATTGCTCTGATTCAGAGTGATCAGACAATTCAGATTCTGAATAATTATCAATTTCATTCTATGGTGTGTATGAATTTGTTTTTAAGACTATAAAACTGTCTTGAAAAGTTATTTTATAATTTCCACCATGAATGATATCATTACCACTTCTATCTTTCCTATTTCTATTTTCATGTGATTTTTAGCATTTTAAAATAGAATGTACTTTGTTCTTTTCTGATTTATTTCTTTATTTCTATGCTATTTAAGTTGGCATTTTTGATAAGTAAATGAAGCTTAATTGAAATTATTAAGTAATTTATATTAATTTATTTAAAACAGATCTTAAAATTTCAATTTTACTCGATCAAAATTTTTTATGAATTTTTTATATGAATTTTTAGAAGATAATGATAAAAAATCATCCATTAATGCCTTTGCTATATTTTTGATTATAAATTTGTCTTAATTTGAGAATGTGTTATTTATAGTACATTATTTTTAGATATAATTTATTAATTTTTAAGGAGATTGTATAAAATTTGAATAAATATAAATAATTTAAAGAATAAAATCTCCATATAATTGGATAAAAAGGTAGAATAGAAAACTACAATTAAATTTCTTTTTAAGTTTTTATACATATCTTTTAAATTTAACAATCTCAAAGTTTTATTTATTGAATATCCATCTAATTTATTGATTTAGATGATATGGAACACTTAGAATTTATAAATTAAATTATTATTTTTTATATTAACTCAATTTTATTGCTTAAAGTAATGACTTTTGTGAACTATTATTAAAATATCTTTATAGGTTTACATCCTTTTTTCAGATACTCTTTTCATTAAACTGTATTTAAATTTTATTTCCTCTAAGTTTAAAAATAGTGTTGATTTTAATTTGAAAAACTACCTATTGATATTAATATAAGTATGTTCTTTATTATCACTCTGACTTGCCAATTTCGCAGTTTTGTAATGGTTAATGCTATTTATAATTTATATTTATATAATTAATTTATGCTTAATACTACTGAGCTTGACTAGACCTTAAAAACAAATAAGGAGGCTTTAGAAATTCCTAAGTTAATTGTTAATTCCTCAAAAATTACTGTGGCTTCTACAAATAATTTAAATAATAATAGTTAGGTTCCTGAAAAAAAAACTACTTTTTTTCGTATTGAGGACAAGTTCTCAAGATTAGAGAAATATGAAGAAATTGATCGAAATGATGAATTAAATCTTCCTTTTGTTCCACCATAAGGATTCAAAGGTCCAGTTGGTAAGTTAGTTTAATTTACTGATTAGTTGATCGAAAGGCAACTGATAAAGCTTGGATAGGTTTATTTCTTATTGTATATGTGTTATTTGGAGTTTACTCATATTTTGTAATTGCAGGTGGAAATCCTAATAGATTAGCACATGGAATGGACTTTAGAGGAGAGATTTGTGGGATAGGAAGCTTAAAGAATAAACCTTTTTTATATTATGCTGGTCCTGTAGTTGACATAGATGTAACTTGGTGTATTAGGTAATGTCCACCATCTACAGGGAGAGATACTTGCATGTATGATACAGATCATATGACGGTAACATCTTTTTGTTACATTCAAATGCAAGCAGATTAGTTAGGTTATTATTGTATACCAAAAGAGCCAAAGAGCAGAGAACTTGTATTTGAATAATTAGGATCAACAAGGAATACAATGAGAAGAATAGGTTCAGATTTATGGGAATCTTGGGATGTAACATTATGTGGATTTGGTTTATCAATTTTTTTAAGTTATTTATTTACAGTTCTGGCTAAATATGAAAAAATTGCCACAGGATTAATATGGGGAGCCATTATATTTGCTGAGGCTGGTTTAATTATATATGGTTGGCTTTTCTATTTGGAATCAATAAGAGTAAATTATGGAATGAATATAGGCATACAATTTTAGATGTATTGATGGTATGAATCCAGATACATGTGGTGGCCAAATAGTAACCATCTATTAAATATTAGCAGTTGTATTTCTGATTTTAGGAGGGATTTATTTAATTGTTACTATATTTCTATTTAAAAGAATTTAAAGAGGAATTTCCTTATTAAAAACAGCATAGCATATTATATAAGTTTTAAGTTAGATTAGATCATTTCCATTTATTGTGGCATTTATTGGATTGATAGTGTGTTGTTTGGCATTTATTTTAGTATGTTTTGCCATGACAGTTGGTACAATAGAATTAACAAGAGCAAAATGTATATATTTTAATATATTAATTACAAAGATATTGATGGACATCTTCTATATAAGATCATTTATAATGATTATATATAATTGGGTCTAATTTATGTTGCATTTACAGTGTTTTTTACTTTAACCTTAATATTAACAATGAATGATATGTTTACAAGTTATGCCTTATCAGTTTGGTTTTTCACAAAATAAAAAGATACTGTCAGAATTCCTTATTGTTTTTCTTTCAAAACATTATTTCGTTATCATTTTGGAACATGTGTATTTATTGCTTTTAATCTTATGTTTCTTACAATTCCATAAACAATAATGGATTATTCAAGAGTATATAAATATATTATTTATAGAGTATAATGAGATTTCTTCCATAAACAAGTAGTTGTGTAAGATACACTTAGGCAAGTTGTATGGCATGTATTCATGCTTTTGAAGTATTTTTAAGATATATATCTAAACATTCAGTTGTTTAAGTAGCTATATGGTCAGAACCATATTACTAAAGTGCTAAAAAAGCTTATTTTTTAATCTTTAGAAATTAAGAAAAAATTAAAGATTTAGATTTCCTTTAAACTTTGATTGTATTTTAAATAAGAATGGCAACAGCTTTTATGGCATCTATTCCAATTTATATTTATATAAATTTTGCTGAATCAACTTTTATGGGAAAACCAACATCAGGAATTGAATCACCTATCATCCCAACATTATATGTATTCATATGTGGAATGTTTTTCTCAAATATTTTTTAAGGTTCATATGATATTACTTGTAAAACTATTATTTAATTGTATTGTATGGATAGTGAAATGTTCTTTGGAGAATAAAGATTTGTAGAACAATTCATTAGAGAATTTATGGAATTTGTAGGAAAGATAGAAGATAAAGAATGGAAAATTGGATTTACAAGATAGGTTAAATTTAATTAAGATAAATTCAATGAAAAATTAAAAAATTATAATGAATCAGATAATGATTCAGAATCAGATTAAGAATTTGATATAAATGAAGATGAAGAACCATAAAGTGATGAAAAAAAAGCAAATAAAAAAAATAAAAATTAAGATGATCAATATTATGATTATGATGAAAAAGTTGATAGAGGAAATGCTTTTATTGGATTACCTTTAGAATATAAACCAAAAAATGAAGTATCCAAAAAACCACCTGAAGAATTAGGAAATGCTTCTCAATCTATTATTTAAGATTAGACTATGGTTGCAGGAGATTAAACAATGGCTTTAGGTAGTAATAAATAATTAAGACTCAAAACTCCTATTCTTAATACCAGTCAATAATCATTCTAGATTTTATTAAATGCAAATGATAAAAGTTAAATTAGTTAAGTTAGTGATTTAGATGAAAAACCAAAAAGAGAGAAAATTATTAAGAAATAAAGATTATGATCATTAAAATATATATATATATATCAATCAATAAATATTTTTAATAGTGAAGTGCATATTTTGTTTTCTAATCTTACTCTTATATCTAAATCAACTCTCATTTCTTCATTTCCTTTCATAGGATATTTACATCTATATCTTAATGATAGTAGTCTAAATAAATGTTGATATTCAGCATCCTCTTCATTATTTTTATCACTTTTTAGTTTTTAAGTTGATAATTTAGCCAAACATTCCTCTAACCATTAATTTGTACTATCTCTTCTCTCAGATAAATTATATTAATCTTCTCCAAGTGCTATTCTTGCCATATGATCATTTAATATCAATTTACCATAATAAGGAAAATATATTTTAATAAATTATTTCATTCTAATATTAATTATATGATTTACTTTCGATATAAATATAAAACAATAAGAAATCCTCTTACATTTCTATTTTTTAATTCTTTTGCATTTACTGAAAATAAGATAGTGGAACTTTATTTTCTATTAAATGCTTGATTAGCAGATCTAACAAAAATTTCAAATATGATATCTGTTACAGATTCTCTCATATAATGCATTAAAGCAAGTATTCCATCTAATAAATTTTTATCTTCTGAAATTTTAACATATACAGGTTATGATTTTTATTTCATTTCTTCATCTTTTTCTGCACGCATTTAATCAATTAATAGATATTCTCTTAATTTTCTTTCTTTTTTAGTTAATTCAGTATTTGCATCATTTAATTCAGATTTTAATTTATTTAATTCATCTTGCATATTTTTAACTTAACGATTCAAATCTGAATTTGCTTTTTTTAAATTATCATTTTCAACTAAAACTGGTAAATTCATTTCTTTCTATTCATTTTAAACCTTTTTTCTTTCTTAAATAATTGCTTCTTATATTCTATTAGCAATTTATGCTTTAAGCTATTAAAGTTCATTTGTAATGTCTTGAATTTATTAATCCTTTAATTTTATAGTTCTCTCCAATTCTCTAAGTTTAGAAGGATCAAATTCATCTTTATTAGAAATTTGATATTTATTTTGAGGTAATCTATTCAAATGATAAAGTTCTTCTTCTAAATATTTCACTCTTCCATTTAATCTTGAAATTTCAATATTTCTTATATTTAATTCAAATAATATACTTTTATGTCACAACTGCTTCAAAATTATATTACATATCAGTTATTATAGCTCTCAATCTTAAATTATCTTCTTCATGTAAACCTTTAATAAAATGTAATCTATCTAAGGTTTAGGAGAGTGTTTAGATTTCCTTAATATAAACAAATTAAATACATTATTTCTAATATCAATACCTTGAAGGAGATTTGGAATGATATACTCGTCGTTAGCAATTTACATTTAATAATTTAATTTTCCAATTAATGATAATACATCTAGTATGTTTTAACTTTAACATTATTTGAAATTTTGAGATGATGTAAATTCATGTACTATAATTAATTTATAATAAGCATATTGAGATCTAATTATTTTATTAATATAATATATATAAAATAATATAAATATGTCCTAAGAACATGATTTAGATGATATAGCTGAACAATAATTAGCAGAATAAACTGCTCTAAGCTAGATTCCCTCAATTCCAGATCAAGCATTACCAACTAGATAATATTTAGAGAAAGCAGTTATAGATCAACTATAAGGTAGATTTATTGAATTAAACTTAAGATGCTTTAAAGGCTTTAGCAAGGGAGAGACCCAAAAATCCTATCGAATTTTTTTCATATTATTTGTTGACTCAGCATTGCAACAAAAAGAAAGAATTATAAGAATCATGAAATTAACTGCAGTATAATTGTATAATCCCAATGTGATAATAATTATTTAAATATTAATGCTAAAGCATCTTTATGATACAGATTGTGTAACCTGGTCCCCATAAGGAAAATTATTCTAAGTTGAATATGCTATGGAGGCTGTCAAATAGGGAAGTATTTGTTTAGGACTCAAATCAAATGATTTTGTTGTATTATGCAGTCTGAAAAGATAACCTTCTGAATTAGCTGGTTATTAAGAAAAGTAATTCAAAATTGATGATCATATGGCTATTGCAATTGCTGGCTTAACTGCTGATGCTCGTAATATTCATTAATATTATTTAGGGGTACTCTGTAAATATATGAGAACAGAATGTTTAGAATATAAATATACATATGAATCCCATCATCCAGTTGGAAGATTAGTATTCAAAGTTGCAGAAAGTATTAATAATCACATAATTCAAGAATCATAACATAAAACATAAAGTGGAGCCAAAAGACCTTATGGAGTTGGATTATTAGTTGCAGGTATCGATCCAAATGGTGTACATTTGTTTGAAACCTGTCCATCAGGAAACTATTATGAATATAAGTGCTAAGCAATTGGTTCAAGATCATAAGCAGCTAGAACTTATTTTGAAAGTTGGTTCCATTTATTCGAGAAAAGTACTTTGGAGTAGCTAATTTTACATGGGTTAAGTGCTCTTAAGAAAGCAATAATGGAAGATGAAGAGTAATTAATACAAATATAATTATAGATTAAATGAAAGAAATGTAGAAGTAGGAATCTTAGGTAAAAATTAGAAATTTATTCATCTTAATGCTTAAGAATTAAAAGATTATATAGTAAAATTAGAAACATTTAATGCAAACGCTTAAATATAATAAGAGTGATGATTAAATAATAATAATATTGGATATATTTATATAGAAACACTTGTGGTCTAATCATTTTTCAATACTAAATTTTTATCCATAAGCAAAGTTTGTATTTAACTTTGTATCTCTTCTATCTTATTACTTTTATTTTTCTAAAAATTATAAGTATTATTACTAATTTATTCTTTTTCTTCCTTTCCCCACTCTTCAATTACTAATTTGTAATCAAATTTACGAACATCTGATTCACCTTATAATTCAAATAATCTTAAAAAGAAATAATCAAAAGCCTCATTACTCAGATGTATTCCAATATAATTGAATGCCTTAGTCAATTAATCTTTTGTCAATTAAGGTTAATTAAATGTTGGGAGATAAGATAAAATTGACTTTTTAAATTTCATTATTTATGCACTAATCTCATTGCTATATTATCGTTCTTCATCTTCTGTAAATATCTTACACTTTCCTACTATCTGTTTGAAAATACTTCTCACTATTTATAATTGACAAGTAGCCTCTTCATCATAATCTACCCAATCTTAAGTATTATCTTCAATCATATATCTAGCCAATAAGTACATTTTCTCTACATCTTTTAATTCGAAAGGTCTGTCACTTAATTTTAAAGCAATATCTTTTATTGAGATTTTACCTTTTTATTTTATCTAAGAATCAATAAGATCATTTTCAACAACATCTTCTAATTTTAATTTTCTCAATCTAAACCTCATATTCAATTCTAAACCTAAATCCTTAATATCTTCTTATTTAACTGTTCTTCTTCTTTTAATACTACCACTCTATGGTCGTTATTTTTAATTTTTTTCCTCTTATATTAATCCTAATTAACTACCTTAATTATGATGTTATGGTTAGTTAATTGGTATTTAAGAGAGAGGGGGTTTGGAATCTTTTTCAAAACTTGGTATAACACTCATAGTACCCATTGTTGCTAATTTTACAGTAGAAGTTCTTGCACTTTTTCTATCTGATTTCTGCTATTATTGATATTCTTCCTAAAAATCTTATTATGCAACTTATAATAATAAATTCTTATATTTTTCATCCACTAATTCAAATTAATTCTTATAATATTCCATATCATTTTCTAATTGTTTTCTTTCTTTTTCTTACGATTTAAAACTTTCTTATTCATAATGTTTCATTTCTAATATTTATTTTTCTAATTGTTTTATTATCTCATTCTTTTCATCAAAATTAATTTTAAGATCAATTATATTTTATTCTAATTCTTTTATATGCATATCATCATTATGAGTTTTAGTAGCTTTTATAATTAAATTATTATTTATGGTCTTTAAATTTTAGATCTCTTTTTATAATATTTCAAATTTATCATTATATTCTTATATTTATTATTTTAATTATTCTGATTATTCTTCTGCTCTTAATTTTAATATATCAAATTATTCACATTTAACTTATGCATTAAATAATTCTTCATCTTTTAATTTAATTAATCCATTAAATTAATCCATCTCTTATTAAAGTGAATTAATAACTTTCATTTAAACATAGAATTTCTCTTCAAAATTATCCATCTATACAGCCCTAAAATCAAAAATGTTTTATACATTTTTTAAGCTGCTTAATTTCTCAATGCTTAATCTAATAAACTTCTAAGTCTTATTGATTCTTCTATATAATTTTTTAATTCAGCTTCAATTTCTGATACTTTTGTTAATTTTAAGTGTTTCTTCAATATAGATAATTCTGCCTCTTTTTCTGTTAACTATTATTTTACCTCTTTTAAAGTTTTTTTAAGATTGTTCATTAAAATATGATCTCCTAATGGTTAATGTCCTTAACCTGTTTATATATAACTATCTAAATTTTCAAGAAGTTTTTCTAATTTTGAATTCTCCTTTTAAAGTTAACCATTTTTAGTTTTCAATCTTATATTCTCTTCTTTAATCCTATTTATCTATTATTTTAGTTCAATTTATTCTTCATAAAGTGTTTCTTTTTCTTTCTTGATATTTTTTGGTAATTTTTTATCTCCAAATTATGAAGGTGGATTTAATAAAATGGCATTAATACTTAATTTTAACAATCATTATTACTCTATTCCTTATTTATCAAAATCATCATAATCTTACTCTTCTAAAATAACTTCTTCATCTGTTCTTTTCTTACCACTAGAAGTAAAACTTAAATTTACAATTTTGAATTTTTTGTTACTATAGCTGAATGTGGTCTAACATTAGGTAACTTCTTTGTTCCTCCATAAGTATTTGCTAATTAAGCAGGTAAACGAGATTTAGCACTTTCAGGACGCCCTTTTAAGTTAAATGCCTAAATTTCATTAAATTTTACTGAAGAAGGTCGACTTTAAAAATCGAATTCCATTATATAATTTTAAATAATAACTATTTCATTCTACAATAATATCAATATTATTATGTTCATCCTCTACTTTATTTTTACTAAATAGCTAAATTTAGATATCGTCATCATCCCAATACAACTTTATTCCTTTATTGCTCCATTTAATATTATATTCATCTAATATTAATTAAACTTGTTTTTCTGCTTTTTCAAAACTAAAATATGGAAAGAGCAAGGAGAACCCACAACTGAATGGAATTAACATATATGAAAGGGTGATTAGTTTTTAAGAAGGCCAATTATTTTAAATAGTTTTATTCAGTTCATCTAAGAATAATGTAAGATCTTAATCACTAATATATTCAACAATTAATGAATTGTTTCTCAAAAAATAGTAAGGATATAGTTTAGATAACACAAATCTACTACCTTTAGTTTTAAAATTAATTATGGCATTAGCATCATATAATTAACTGTATTGTTTTTTCAATTTGTTTTTATTTGGTTAAGAATTAGTTCTTGTTTCTAAAGATTTATTATTCTAAAACATAATTTTATTATATAAATTAGAAAATATATATAAATGAATTGAAAAAAACAATAATATGTATTTTTAGACATAATAACTAATTGTATATAATTAACCTTGTTCAAATATATATTTGAATAAATTTGATAAAAATAATAGAATTAAATTATTAAATTGTTTAATATTGTAAACCATTCATTCGGCATTTCCAAGTTTTGCTACTTTATAATCTTCTGCAAAATGCAACAAGGAAGCTGTAAAGACTGCTAACATTTTTGCTTTACCCTAATAAAAAATAAATTTAATAATCTACATCTCTTATTTATTCCCAAATTAAAAATACTGTTGCACCTAATCTTCTAGCCACTGATATCACATATTTAGCATTACTTTCAATTTCTTCTAAGGTTTCACCTAAAAAAATTAAATGAATTATAATAATTACCTTTTTAAACAAAATCCCAATCAATAGCTCTTGGTTCAATTGAACTCAAAAGTCTGAAGAAGAAATGACTTGTTTTAGCTTTTGGATCTTTAAATGAAGCTAATCTTTCAGCTTCAGGAACCTTCTTATTGGCTGCTTCTAAGATTTGATCATCTTTTTAATCTCCCATAGTCTATTATAATATTATAAATGAATTACTTTAAGAACATCCAATCTAAATAATTACCAGATGACACCTAATATGAGTTTCTTCTTTCCATCTACAAAATCAACTCCACCTACATTGACAAGAGTAATTTTGAATGTTTTAGCTTATTCTAATGAGTAATTAGCATTTTGAACTTTAATAATTCTTGATTTAGCTGGAATTTTAACATTCTTCCAATTTATTGTTTATGGCTTTAATTTTTCTAATAATCTATTTAGATTGATTCCATCTCTCATATCTTCTATTAAATTATTGATATATCCATCTTCTATATTAAGACTGTTAATCCACATTTTGAATACTCTTTCATCCATACTACTTTCAGGATCATCATCTTCTTATAACATTTTAGTTTTTTCATAATCATCTTAACTTGGTGTCAATCCAGGACATGCATTGAATATCTATGCACAAAACAATAAGTTTAATTTTGAATTTCCTTTAACTATATGAACTGGTCTCATGAATTTAGGTACACCGATAGCTTCAGCATTCTAAATAATAGTTTTAGCTCTGTTTTCTTAATCTTAAGTAAGTCCATCCAAATTGCATTTATCCTTATTTAATTAATTAAGCAAGATTATATAAGCTTCACCATCTTGTATGTCCTTATCAAAATTATTTACTTATCTTTGAGATTTGGCTTCTTTCAAATGATAATTAAACCATCTCAAAAGTAATTAATCAGGTGGTAATTTAAGAATATCTCCAATTTCTTCTTCCTCTTTTTTGAGTCTAATCAAAAATGGATTTTCTTTTAAATTTACCATTTTAGTTGTTTAAATCTATTAAATTATGAATTAATACTTTTATGATTTACCACACTAATCCAAGAATAATGTGTTCTCTTCTATCTTTAATTAAGTCTGGCCTAATATTAACAACAACACATCCTATTGATTTTGCTGATTAGATAGCTAAATTCAAGTTGATCTATAAGATATATATAATTCTTAAATACATTTTCATTGAAGATGTTAAGTGGCTTCTTCACATTAATGGCTCTTGGATCTATTGCTCCATTTTATGCCAAATTGATGATTTTACATAACAATATACCATCCCCAACCTTAACAAACATATCATTTGTTTCTGGATTTAATGGTAAAACGTCTGCAACATCCTTATCATCTCTAAGGTAATAATTTATATGGTCACAAAAGGAGGATACTTCATCTTGAGAATAAGTGTGATGAGATCCATCTCCTTTTTCAACCTTTAAGACTGTCTTTTGCTTTGGATTATCCATATTATTTAATAATATAATTTAATCAAGATATTTCTTTGTCTTAAATTGCGGAATTTTATTATTATGCTATATCTTCCTGATTTTATTTTTCAATTACTTAATCTGTTTTCTCTTTATTTTTATTTTTTTTCTTAGCACTCTTATTTTTTGACTCCACTGTATGCTTTTTCAATATTGCTATTCTCTTTTTGTATTCTATTGATTTTTGAAAATCCTTTAAATTACAAATGCACATATGATAATCATCAAGTTCTGTCTCTGGAATCACCATTGCATGATTTTCCTTATCTATTTCTTCATCATCAATAAAAGAGTCTTCCTAATCATAAACATTTTGACCCTTTTCATAAGCAATATCCTTTTGCATAGCTCCAGTTTTTCGAGCAATTTAATAAGGATTATCTAATTTACCATATTAAGCACATCTTTAGACAATATTATCAATTAAATTCCTTTTTACATTATGAATTTGCTCCTCTTAATATATAGGAGACTTAAAGAATTTCCCATCAGGTGTTTCTATATCAATTACAATCCATTCATCCATTTCTAATACAATATAATTTAGTTGTAAAATTATCTTACAATATATAAAATATTGATAAAAATTAATTATATCATAATAAATGAATTCTATTCAGTTTTCATAATAAATGTGTGAAATCACTTTTATTAACTTTGCTCATCTTTATTTATTTAATTTTGATATTGATTTTTAATAAATGAACAATAAATGAAAAGATCTAAGTTAAGAAACTATATATCTTCTCATTATATTAATATCCTCATATTTATTAAGAATCTATCTGATATCCAAATAATAAAATACATTAATAACATAAAATTATTCTAATAATAAATCTTAAATTCTATTATCCAATATTTTCTTTTTATTTCCAATTTTAATTCATAAACTTGATCATTCAGTATTTATTCTTACATCCATTTCTTTAGCAACAATGAAATTTGAATCCTTTTAATTATAAACTTTGCTTAAATAACTTTATATGAAAATATCAATAATTAAATTATTAGTAAATATTTTCTAAGCTAACTTAATTTATAAATTATCCAGTCTTCTATAATTATATACTTTTAATATATATAACAGTTTCAAATGCTGATTTATTTTATTTTTAATAGATTTTCAATTTTTATATATGTTTATTTATATCTTTATTTAAAGGATTAATTTGGTGTAGATTTGTATTGTATTTAGATCATCATGACTCAAAATAGATGCATAAATCAAATATTTATTCAAATAATATTTTATCTTAAATAGCAAGAAATGTATATTATTAAATTTTTATTCTTAACTTATTTAATAAAATGATTTATATAACTGTAGTTAATCATTTACTTATGTTGCAAAAGGATTATTTACAATTTATCAACTATTAGTAATTTAGGATAAAGCAAATCTATTATTTCTCTTATTTTTCATAATAAAAATTAATATGAGTTTATCATTTTCTTCATTTGGAAAAATTCTTGAAAAAACTAAACCTATTGCAGTTGATGAAGTAATAAATCTTAATGGACATATACTACCAACAATCTAAAAAGATAAAAAGTAATAAAATCGAAATGATTAAGCAAGCTCTAAATGTTTTCTCTGTTAAGAAAATTTGAAGGGAAACAATAAAATGAATCGTTTCCATTTAATTCTGTCTCTAGAAGAGCTAGACCAACTCTATGTTGTTTAATGCCAGAAAAATCATATGAAGCAAAATATACTCCTAAATTTGATGTAGTTTAGTATAAGTCTCCCTCTTTTGATTTTGGATCAAGATCAAAAAGTTAAATCAGGACAAGGTCTATCTCAATTTGTAGTCAAGATTACTATATTGATTAATATACATCTTTTAGAACAATATCAAAATCAACAAAAGGATAATCTGAAAAAAAATGCACAAACTCTCAAATAAAAGAAGAATGTCCTAAATTATAACATTATATATAACTTGTTAAGAATAAGAGAAGTAAAACTCATAATTATTCACCTGATTTCAACAAATATACAGATCGTAAATATACTTAGAGAGAATTTTTGCAATAATATGATTTACTTGGAGTAAATTATGCAAGAATAGTAAGATTTATTTAAAATAATGAAAGAATAAAAGACTTGATGTAGGATATGTTGAATTTGGTAAATTTACTAAAAAAGTTGTTATGAAACAAGACAGAGCTGAAACACCTCCATCTGTTCGTTTGGATTATGATATTGATAAACCAAAATAAATTAGGAATATTTATTTAGGAAACAATAAACCTATATAACCAAAGCCAAGGCCTAAATTACTACTACCATCAATTAATAATTCTGGGTAAAGATATGTAAAAAGAACATAGGAATTAATTTCGTGGTCGAATTAATGAATAATATTATTAATTTATATTATAAAATATATATATAGATAGATCTAAATAATTTATCAGCAGCACTTTTTGTTTTTTTGTTAAACTTAATATAGACTTTTAGATGCACCTCTAACAAATTCTGGATTTTCTAATTCCATTTGGGATGCCATTGTACCAACTTTATCAAACATTTCCTCGATATTTTATTTATATCAAACCTTCTATTCCTTATCCAGTCTTTGCAGACACTAAAAATAGCTCAGCATTTATTTTATCTGCAAATTTCTTAGCTTCTGCATATGTGACAATATCATTCTCCAAATCAACTTTATTACCGCATAATACTAAAATCATCTTATTTCGATCACAATTCTCTTTTAAATCTTCATTCCATTTCTCTAAACTACGAAATGAATCCTTATTTGTAATATCATATACCAATATGGCAATTTAGGATTCTTATAGACTATATACCAAGTTCAAATTATTACATCTATAATATATTTTAGTAAGTGCACGAAATGCTTCTTATCCTGCTGTATCCCACAATTAGAATGTTATATCTTCTCCATTTATATTAATGGTTTTAGATAGAAATGAACTTCCAATTGTTGGTTCAGTCTTTCCATCATATTAATTCTGCACTATTCTTCTAACAATGCAGCTTTTTCCTACATTTGAACTTCCTAAAAACACTGTTTTAAATTGTCTATTACTACTCATCTTACTTTTATAAAATATTACAAATTAAATGGGACAGAGCTGTATGAATAAAAAAAAAGAATTAAATGATCCTATGCTTTAATCAATAAAACCTTTGCATAGACCCAAAAAACCAACTTGGGAGTTGCATTATAATGAAAGCAGACCTGAAACTCAAGAGGATCTTGATTTTGATATTGAAACTAGAAATCAAAAAAAAAAAGAAGTTCGTTTTACTACTCCAGAGAGAAGTCGACGGTCCTTCTCTTAAGGAGTCAAATATCAAAAAGAATTGTTGATGAAACAAATGTTTGGTGATATGTTTGCAAGAAAAAAATATAGTTTAATAAGATCTGATAGAGAATTAAGATAAAAAGAATATAACAATAGAATAAATAAGACGTAAAATATGGATATTAGTTTTATTCCTGGGTAATTGTCACTCAAATAAATTTATGTAAATCATTCAGATCAAACATCAACTTTAAAAGAAGAAGTTAAATCTCTCAAGTCTTTTAAATCTAATAGTTAGCCTTAATCAAGCATATTAAAACAAAAAAGTACTAAAGCTAAATCGCTTTATTCTGGATCAAGAAGAAGTGTTAGGTTTTAGTTTTGATTAAGTTATTTTTATTATTTAATTATACTCATTCTCTATGTTAAAATATCATATTACTGAAAAGTTTAATTTCGTTATATCTTAATGATGTTTTTTAATATAAATTATATGCTAAGATAAATAAGATAAATGATATAAATTATTAAATATATCCTTTAATATAAACCAATAAGATTAACATAAAACTAAACTATCTTTAATTTAATGATATTCCTTATCCCAATAATGCCTAGAATTTATTTAAATTCAAATTCTATTATCATTATTTCATATGATAATATTTATAATTTAATTCTGTTGTTAATTTTCAATGATAAATTTTTCATTCTACATAAGAAAAAGTCCTTTATTGTGTATTTTTCAAATCTATTTGGAAGTAGATCTGTCAAATTTGAATATTGTGATTAAAATTTATCACAATCATCTTCAATTATATATCATTTCATCATGATCCAAATCCAAAATAATAATTCAATATTTAATTAAGTGTATTATATATTTTTAAGAAATCTTTTTTAATATTTAAAAATCCTTAAGAGTCACCATAATTAATATATATTAATTTATCTCTAAATAAAAGGAATCAGATATTTGAAGATTAACTATATAAAGTGTTCAATAATTCTTCATTTTTTATTAATGTTATTTCATCAAATATTATTGTTATTAATTTAGATATAAATCTTATATAAACACATAATAAAATATATTTAATTGTTCTTTTAGTTTTCAACAAAGAATATTAGATTTAAATTACTATTGAAAAAATTTAATAATATTTAATTATTTATTTAAATTCTATTTTTAATAAAAAAAATAAAAAATAGGATTCTCTTTAAGATATCAATTTAATATAATTATCTATATTACTAGATTGAATATTTATGTTTAAATATAATAATCTTAATTTTTAATTGATAGTATTTTGAAATTTTTCTTTATGAATAATTACATTTCTAAATAGATTGTATGCTTCAGGACTATAATAGTGAAATTAAAACCAAATATCTGAATACGCTGATGTAGCTCAGTCGGCAGAGCGGTTGGCTGTTAACCAACAGGTCGAAGGTTCAAGCCCTTCCATTAGCGCTTTTTTTTTCTTTTTTACAACTAAAAAAAAAATAATCAATAAACCTCATTTAATTATTATTATATATAATGGATTAAGACCCAGAAGCTCCTAAATCTAGACTTACTAAATTCTTTGAAAAAGTTGATACTTGGATTGGACCATCTAGACTTTAATACAAACCTGCTTGTTATGATTTAAAAGAAATGATTGTAGAATGTGTATTAGAATCAGATTGTATGAAAAACAATGAAGGGGATTTTAGATTTTGTTTAACTGAAGGAATTAATAAAGAATGTAAAGCTATTAGACATGATTGGTATATTTGCAGAAAATCATAAGTGGATTGGAATAAACATCATTTTAAAGATGATCCTCGTTGATATTCTTATATAATACATTTTAGATAATATAATATCACTCAATTTTAGTTGATGCTTACTATGATTCTTCTACTTCTATTCTACCTTTCAAGAAATCATTTGACTATTTGTAAATTTAATATGTATTTTGTATATCAATACCAAGTGTATTACAATAATTATGTTCAGCCATAAATTAATAAAGATCTAAGGAATCATCTTCATCAAGTTCTGAACCAAAACATTTCTCAAATTAATCCTTGAATTGATGTTACATGTCTTTTTTTTCAATTTATAATAAAAATTTGGCCACTTGACTTGGTTTCAATTCTTTCCTTAATTATTCTAAAGTCTATCCATAAGAACCTAATTCAAGTTAGACTTAATTTTTAATATCTTGAAATGATGAAAGAGTACTAAGAATTGAATTATTAGAAAATACTTAGTCAATTCATTTTAAAATCTTAGTAATTTTTTTTATTTTTTCTAAAGAATTTGTTTTTACTTATCTGTTAATTTTAAACTTCTTAATACACCATGTTCAGATTAAGACTCAGATGTTGAGAAAACATCCTAATCTGTTTTTGCTACACCAATTATATAATTTAAATATGGAGATAAGCAATTCTCATAAATTTAACGAGCATAATGATCAATTTATTATTATCTTTCTAAAGTTCCTGATCCAAATTTTTTCTTAAATTATATATAAGAAACACTTACATTAAGAGACTCTATTATTGTATCAATATTCATTTCATTAATATTACTTTATACTGAATTTTGTAAATTAGAAAATAATATTATCTTATTCTAATCTTAATCTTGTTTCTAACATAAATATAATGTTACTTGATTAATTTTATTTTGTAAATTAGTAGCTAACTCTGTTGTTTATTCATTTACTCTTTTAAAAATTTCTAATTATTCAGATAACTTTGTAACTTTAGTTTCAAGTAGTTCTAGATAAATTTTCTTTCTTTTTCTACTATTTCTTGCTGATTCTCTATTTTTTGCTAACTTGTCCTCTTTATCACAATTAGAATTTCCAACAATAAGTTGACTTTAAATCTTATTAGAAAATTGTCTTTTGCCAACTCTAATAATATTGATTTTTGGAATACTTTTCATCTGATTATTACTCTTAATTAGTAATCTTAATTAAGGAAGATATCTTATTTATATATGTATTTTTTGTATTTGATCTTTACTTTTTATTTTTGTTGCTATTATTTTACCGTTTGATAGGTTACTCATCTTGTTCGAATTACAAATCACTTGAATTTGAATCATAATTAAGTTGATCTATGTAATCAGGAAAACTCATTTATTTTATATTTTTATAGATAATTAGTAAATAAATTAATTAATTATTTAATGTTATTTACTTTGAAGAACATTCAATAATTTTAGAGTGTCTTTACATTCTAATAGTATCTATCATTTATTGGAGCAGAGTTTGATTAAAATACCATATTTTATTAAACAACATTAATATGTTCAGATAATATTCCATTAAAAAAATTCCCAATAATAAACCCTTCTAATTTTTTATACTAAGTATATTTAATATGATTTTTAGAAACTCTTTGAAGACAAAAAAAAGGATGAAAACAAATATATTCAATATTCTAATAGTGAAAACAATTTTTAAAATAAAAAATATTTTTTAGTTAGTCAAAAGTTAATACTTTCTGATGAAATGGAAACCTTTTATAAAATAATAGGTGAACAAAATATTGACTTCATTTTATAAAATTTTAAAGTAAGATAATTATTTTATTAGATATTAATCAAAGAAGACATAAATAAAGAGACTTATATTTAAATATGGGGAGAACCAATTATGAAAAATACTATAAAATAAAAATCAAATAATTAAGAAAAGATTTGTAGGTAATAAATTCTTTATTGCAATCATATGTCAAGACAAGTAGGACTATTTAAAAAAAGTATTACATTAACTATTATATATATAGATTTCATAAGTTAGGCCAAAAAAGAGATAATTATGAGGAACTTTATCCCAAAAGAATAAATATCATTAGATATGATATCTATGAAAGCCACATCAAATATTTTTGATTAATATTATTTTGAGGGAAAATTTAAAGAATAAGAAAAATAGTAATTGAGAATTTTAACCTAAAAATTGATTAACAACATGTAAAAATTCAATTTTCCCTAAGCTTTCAAGATATTTGTTCCTCTACCTCCTAATTATTAAAATTTAAAAAAAGATGTCTAACAATCTATAAAATAAAAGCAATTTTATATTCCTAATCTATATGACAATATTTATAAGAACTTTTTAAGTTATGATTAAGTAATTTCAACTTTGAGAAACTTTCTTCGAACCATTATACCTATAGACTTTTTAGGATAATAAAACTTATATACTTTTCTAAATGATTTATAACAATTTATTACATTATTGAGATTTGAAGACTAAAATTATTCAGATTATATTAATAGATTTAATGTTTTTTAAATTCCATGGATGAATACATATTTTTCAAAAAAGAAATAGAAAATTTTAATTTTCAAAAAAAGATAATAACTATTCCCTATATTTAGATTTTTATTCTAATAAATTATAATACCTTTTCTAAGACATAATTTTTATATTACTGAAAGAATGAAGGATGACTGGAAATTATTTTATTATAGAAAAGAAATTTGGAATTTGATACTTAAATTATCATTAAATCAATTATCTTCCAATAACTTAAAATAAATATCTCCTTAAAAAATTACAACCCAATATATTGGTAAATTAAGAATTGTACCTAAACCAGGTACATTTAGACCAATAGTTACTTACAATAGAAAATCAAGAAGTAAAATTATATTTCAAAATAGTTTCTAAATTATCACTTAATAAAAAACTATTAGATATTAAGTATGTATTAAGAAATTTAAGAAGCCAATAACTAGGTTTCTCAGTATTTGGAAATCCTTAAATATTTAATAGATTAGAGGAATTCAAAAAACTATGGATCAAGTATTAATTTCCATAAACCTATTTTATGTCTATGGATATTCATAAATGCTATGATTCTATCTAACTTGAATTTTTACTTAAATTTATTCAAGAAAGTAACTTAATTTAAAGTGCCTATATCATTAATAAATATTATTTAATTATAAGAAATAATCGGTAAATCAAAGGATCTAAATAAATGAGAGATCTATTTAATATTTTTGATAGAACTTGTGCCATTCCAATTAACAATCCTTAATGTCTTCAAAAAGGATACATAGAATATATTTAATAAAATAAATTAGCTATTATAGCAAATCTAGGAATATAAACAACTGTTACATTTAGTGAATTCTTAATAAGTATTAAGGAATTATGTCAGAATAATATTGTTCAATTTGAAGATAGATATTTTATATAGACTCTAGGAATTCCTTAAGGATTAAATATATCTGGAATTTTATGTTCTTTTTACATAGCCAATATAGAAAAAAACTTGACTCGAAAACTAATAGGAGATACATTGATTATGAGATTAACTGATGATTATTGTTGTTTAACCTTTGATAAACAAAATTTAGTAATTTAATTTTTTATTTAGATTAACATTAAAAATAATTTTAAAGAAGTTGAAAAGTTGTATAGCATCCATTTGAATGATGATAAAACTTAACATAATATAGATCAAAAGGTAGTCACTTTTAAATGGATTGGAAAAATAATTAATTTAGAAAAATTAACCATAAAACCTGCTTTTGCATAAGAAAAGGACAGTAGTAAGTAATAAATCTATTTATAGAATTTTCAAATTAAATCAATGTCAATCTACCATCCAGACTTAATTCCTATTTTTTTAAGGCAAAGTTGAAATCCCTTATGCTTAATTAATTTAAATTTTTTTTTAATCCTAAAATAAATGACTAACCCACATTGATTAAAATAGCAAAAACATTTATACATGCTGGATTGATTAAATTAGTAAACTTTATGGAGAAAGCCAAATTATTTAAGTTATCTAAATAAAAGAATAAAAAATTTGATTTTTTAAGTAAAATCATTTTTTAATATAGAAATAATCAAATAAGTACAAATAGAAATTGCAAATTATTGCTTTTAATAAGTTTAAGAGAGAGGATCAGAATTAGATCAGAATTACATTTTGAGAATAATAAAAAAGTAATTATAAAAAACAATAAAAAATCACAAAAAATTGAAAATGATTATTAATTATAAAAATTTATGAATCAATAATTTTATAACTTCCTCAATATACCAATTACTCACAATCCAAGACCTGAATTAGTAAGAGTGAGATTGGCAAAATAATTTATTGTTGCTTAAGTATTGCATATTTTTAATACATGGAAATCAATTCATAATGATGAATCCATTACTTTTGGATTGATTGGATGTGGACAAGTTGGAAAGTTGATAATTAATTCTATAATTCCATATGCTATTAAATACTATGATTTAAAACCTTAAGATGTTCATATATCAACAAGAAGGTATATTAATTACATTATAAGATAGGCCTGAACAAATTCATTATTATGTTACAAAAGGTTATTAGGTATACTTTGATAATGATAAATTATTATAATAATGCAATTTTGTAGTAATAGCTATTCCACCAATGATTGATAATTGGAATATTTTGGAATTATAAATTAGAAATCCAAAGACATATATAATATCATTGCTCTCTACTTTAAAATTACCTCGATTGAAATAATTACTAAAATTAGATAATTAGCTATATCATACTTAAATTTCATCATAACAATTAGATTAAGCAGTTTTGAGCTACATAGAATTAATAGAGTAAATAAAGCCAGGAGTATTTCAAACTCAAATTTAAGAAGACATAGTCAAATTAATAACTGAACAAAGTCATAATCATTTTATTGATGGAGAGAATAGGATAAAACTTTTTTTAGAATCATTTGGTATTTAATTAACAGATAATTAATACTAAAAAATTTTTGGAAGAAATAAATAAGAGTTTGAAACACAAATAGAGAAATTATTCAAAATGAGTTTCACTAAATCTATGCTATAATTTTAAAACTTTATTCAAAAATGAATAAGTATGTTTTAAATCTATCAGTAATATAAATCTAATGTTTTTATTTAAATTTATTAACTTATTATTTTCAATTTAGTATAAAATTAAATTAATTAATAGACAATGTTTCAGTCATATCTAACGAAAAAGAAAATTTAATAATATGCTTCATTAATTTGACCTTAAATTAAATATATCTTATTGAAAATTTACAATATTTAATGAAATATCTCTGATTATAAACTCTAGATATGATTGGGAAGTATTTTAAGATTAATATTAAAATATATTATTGAATTTACTTTATAAAATGAATAATTTCCATGAATTATAATATTATTCATAAATATTAATTCATTTACTCATCTTAAAAAGAGTGACTCTTCATGATTTTTGAATCAAAGAAAACTAGCAAAGATTAATATAGTTTATAAAATAAATTATCAATATAAGAATATAGTATTCAATTGATTAAGGAAACTTCTATTACTAATTCTAAAATTGTCTATTCAATTAATTCAATACCATTAGAATTTTTGAATTTAACAAATTAAATTTCAAGAATTTTCGATTAGAATTATTTAAATAAATGTCAGATAGTTTACTTTTTTTAAACTAAATATTATATTCACACTAGATTTGAAGTATAGAAAGATGAATTTATATTATAAATTTATTTTCTTCTTCGTTATTCAGATACATTTATTTAAAATTTTTATTATCTGATCTAAGTTTCAAAATTAGAATAAATTTTTTGATATTTATTTTTATAAACTTTAACTCCGCGTTGCATTAGGACCAATTCATAGTACATCTATTATTTTAGATTATGGGTCCATTTATTAATTCTAAAATAATATTAATAAAATTAGCTATTTTATCATTACAAATTTTTGAGTTTATAATATTACTCAATATCGCTTAAATTAAATTTTATTGTTAACCTTCTAATACTAAATAACATTTTGTATAGTAAATGACTAAATTTGTTATTTTTTCTTCAACAAATATTCTGTCTCTTGTAATAAATGATGAGTTTGTATAATTTGTGTTTTTTATTATGATTTATATTTTTATTTTAAGAAATCATTTGATATGATAGAGAATGACCTAGAAAATATGAAAATGTATGCGTATCTTAATTCTAGTATTTTAGATAATGATCATACAAAGTCTATTAGGACTTTATAATATGTTTTGCTTCCAAAATCTAAAGATGAAATTATTACGAGAAAGAATAACTAAAATCACATTAAGTCATATTTATCTTAAGGAGTAAACCCTACAAATATTGTTCCAAACAACCTTGATGATGGAATTTGGATTGGCCTTCCAAATAATATTCATAATTAGTTTACTAAGCCAATACTTAAGGAAGCAAAAAAATATACTGATCAATTAGATTAAGCTATTAACAGATATTAAGAATACAATTAAAAGAATAATAAACTATAAAATTGTAATTAATCTAAAAAAAGTACAAAAAGAGTGACTTTTGAGAATTCAGAAATATGAACTCAAAAATATTAATTGTCTAAAAATTGATTTGCATAATTTATATATACTAAATAAATAAATAAATTCAAGGGTTTGTTTTGAATAATAATAAAATAATAAAAATAAATCAAGAATTAATAGTTTATTTATTACATTTATTTGGCAAACCTGGACAAAGTGGTTATAATTTGAGAGAATGACTTAAAATCTATTTTTTTATTATTTAATTTACTTTCTAATTTCCAACTTTAAATTCTTTTTGTTTTAAATCATCACTTCTATGATTATTATTATCATTTAGAGATAATTACTCTTAATTTGACATTTATTCTTATATTATATTATTATTTATTATCGCTTAAGTCAATTCAAAATATTTATTTTCTGTGATAATGTGCCATGATTACATTGTTTCTAAATTTCTTTGAATTTAAATTAATTTTCTTTAATGTATAACCTTTAATAATATATAATCTTTACATTTTAAATTAATTTTATGATATTTTGTATATAATAAGTGAGATTTTCATAATATGAATTATTCTTGATTCCATTAACATAAAATCTAGAGTAAGAATTTTATAGTGATTAAATAAGTCCTATTTTAAAAAAAAGTGTAGATATCATTGCAGGATGAGTTTTATTCAGCAATAAGTTTAAAAACCTTAAATTTAATGATTGAATGATACATAAAAAAGTTTCTTTAAATAGTATTGTTTGAATCACTATCAAAAAACCATATCACTAGTATATGTAATACACTTTCATTTATATATTAAATCATTAATTTTTCTATTTAATCACTAAAAGTTAATTGAAATAACTAGAATCCTATATTTAAAGTAGTCATTAATAATGATTTCTTAAATTTATGCTTAGTAGAATTATTTAAATTTTTATTCATTTCAAATATTTATTTACAAAGATATTCAATAACATTTAAAAAACTGTTACATAAATCTACTTGATTATCTTTTAGACATTTTATTTTGGTTACATTTTCATATATATAATTAATGAATATTCCACATTCATCTGATAAATTTGAATCATATGGTTAATTTTCCAAAATATTCAACAAATAAATTTAAAAACATCTATCAATAAAATGTTAACTTAAGAAACATTTAGACATGCATGATATATCTAATGTACTTAAGGTAAGTTTAACTTTATTATTATTAAGATATTCTATTATTGATTTAGTAGTATGAAGCAATAATATTATTCCTTAATAATAGTATTTTTAATCTATCTAAATTTATTGAAGTTAATTTTCATATTATATATGTGAAATTTAGGTTTTATAACTTGGATATATTATTTTAAGTTTTGAACTAGAAAATCCATCATTTGTACAGTTTCGTTCTGTTTTTTATCTGAAGTTGGGTTAATAATATAAAAATATTGATTTCTATTATTATCTCTTAAAACTGGAAGGACAGTGTTCTTCTATTGAAACTTATACTTAATATTTATCATTTGATTCTAAATACGGGGAGTCTATAATTTAAGTTGAAGATGATTATTGAGAACTTGAATAAGTTAATTTTAATATAGCTTTTGATTAGCTTTTTCTTGTGTTAATAATAATATTATTATTTTTTGTTATTGTATTTTTAATTGTTTCAGGAAATTCCATTGATGTGTTTAATATAATTTATTCCTATTCTTTTATATTATTTTATGTGTTATTAATATTTGTTTTAGTTGATCTTTTCATTTGGAGATCTAAATAATATTATTTTAATTGAGTATTATTCTTTCTTTCTTAGATAAATTTATTTAGGTTATCTAAATCTCTTGTAATGAATTCTTTGGTTGAGATATACTCATTAATCTCTTAATTTAATTGCCAATTAAATTAATTTGTTGTATAATATTATTAAGTGCTTTTACCTGATTAAAATACTCCCAATAAATTAGTTAATTATTCTTTTTCCTCTATATTCATAAGTGTTGATTTAATTTGTATTTAATTTTATGATGAAAGTGTTTTTAGTATAGATAAAATATTTATTATAGCTTCTGTTTTGGCTTCTTTATGTATCATGTTCATATTTACTGCTTCTTTATAAACTCTTTAGACTATAAATGTAAACCATTCTGTTTTACACAAATATTTCCATATTTATTCCTAAAAGAAATGTCCTAATTAATAATAGTCAATTTTAATATTAATTATATCTAGATATCAAATATACATACTCTCTAAAATTTACTATATCATAGAATTGTAGATGTAGAGACTTAATGAAAAATAAAGATTTAAATCAACTATTTACACGATACTCAACTTTGGTTGTTTCATTAATGTTATTTCAATAAGTTTTGCAATATGATTAAGATTCATATTATTGTTCTAATCATTAATAAAGTTGTAAACTCCATTAACTATAGATTTAAATATTATGTTACAAATCTAAATGACATTTTATTAAACAAATTGATCAAAAAATTAAATATTATCCTCTTTAATTAAAACTTAAAGGGCTTTATATGATCGTATGGTTTCTTCTTGTTTTAATGATTTTCCGTATATTTTATAATATGTTGGATCATCATTTTATAAATTTATATCAGATTATTGAGCCTATAATTATTATAAAATTATATAACCCATTTTTTATAAACTTCAACTTTTTCAGGTTAAGTAATATACTTTAAAATTTCATCATAATTTTCAGGTTTCTTAAAAATATTCTCTCTCTCTAAAATATCGTATGTATTTGTTTCAAATAGCCATTTTTATATTTAATCATCAATACTATCTTCCTAATTATCATCACTATCATAGTTCTATGAATCATCAATTAATGTTAAATTGATTTTTAAGTTTTTATCTGATACAAAGTCTATAGAATTTTATATATGATTTTATAAAAAATCTAAAATTAAGTTCATAGTTATTACATTATTCAATTTCTTCATAATATGTTGTAATCCATTGACGATCACCAAATATATCCTTTTTACAGATATCAAAAATAGATATAATCTAATATCTAAATTCTTAATCTTTTGTATTTATTATAAATGTTTTAAATATTTTAGCCATTTTTTCTAAATCCATATTTAATTCTTTGGCCTACTAAAATAATTATTTTAGGTATCCACTACTAAACTTTTTAGCGATCAATAATTTTTCAATTACAGTTTTTGCAAAGGATACATTTTATTATTTCAATCTCACATCTACTGATGCATTTTTTCTAATATATATTATTAATCTACATAATTGTAAATCGAGAGGATTTAACAGAGAATGATCTTTAACTTAAAAATTCTCTTTATTCTTATAGTTAAGCTACTTCTGAAATTGCTTAGTGGAATGTAGAAATAAATTAATCATCCTTAAATCTATCAAATAGAATTGAAATAATCAATTCCACACTGTATTGTTAAAATGGATAAGCACATATTACTTTTAATATATTATTATATATATACATAGCTTCAATGATGAAATATTTGTAAAATATTATTAATTTGGTAAACTTTATGCAAATTCCTTAATTCCTAATGAAAGTTTCTACAATCTCATATATTGATTATCTTCAGTAAGCTAAATTTGAATTGAATTAAAAGTTACAGCAAGTTATAAGTGCATTAGGTTGAATTTATATTTATGATTAAAATTATATATTATTATAATCAATAAGTCTATCTACCAAATCAAATTAATTTTCTTTATGATTATTCTGGTCTTGCTGTTTGCACTGTCGGGTTAGTATTAGGTTCGCTTATTTTTCTAAAATTAGATTTTACTAATATACTTTTATAAGGACATAAGGGAATTTACTTTTTGATTTATTTATGTTTTTGTTTTGATTAATTTGAGATTCTTTTCTTCACTTTTTTTAGGTTATACTTTTTCTACTTATTTCAGTTATTCTACATTAATCAATTAATCAGCATTTCTCAAAGCCATAGGATTTTCAAATGGTTGAGCTTATTCTAGCTATTACCATGAGTCTAATATAATAAGAGCACTTTATAAATCACTTAAATTTCTCACTTTTATTGCATTTCTAATAATATAATTTATTAATAGAATATAAAAAAAAATGCCTTCTACATATGATGTGTCCTTTATTTCATTCTAATAAAATTTAGTATATGCATTATATAACGAACTAACTAATCCTAATTTAAAAATAATATTGGATAAGTATGGCATAGGAGCTCCTGCAAAATATATAGTAATAAATTTAGTGAAGATTTATTAATATATTGTATTCTATTAACTATCTGAAAACCATATAATAATTATATGAAGCATAGTATCTGTTAAATTTCTGAAAACACTTTTTAAATTTTTATCTACTTTAATCATATAATTTTATCTGTCATATAATAACAATCCATTAGTCATTAAGGAAACTAAAATATATTATTTAAAAGCAAAAGATGAGGAATCTAGTTTTTATTTAATTGAATTTAATTAAACTATGCATTTAACTAAATAATCTATTATTAATTAAAATTAATTTTTTAACAATTCTTTAAAATTTTCAAATATTTATAAAGTCTTAACTTTAATGTAAAGATTATGTAATAAAAGTCCACATTCAACAGACAAGGATGTTGGATTATGTGGGATTTCCAAAATTGAATATAAAAATACCTTAAATAATGAATATATATTCTTTTCTGTTATAATTAATTCTGCAAATTTATTAATATTAAATATTTAAGTTTTGGGTAATCTTTTTTACATTTCTTATTGTTTTTCAGCAAAAACAATTAATTAATCAATTAATAGAATTAACATTTTTAAATGATTTTCTGATATATTATTTTTATTAAATTATGATTTTTCTTTTTCAAAATCTGATAAAAATATTACTGATTTAGTTGTTGGATAGATTTAAACAAGTTTACTACTTGAAAATCCATCATTTGAATATAAATCATTATCTTGTTCAGTTTTCATTTTATTTTTACCTTAATGTTAAGAAGTTTAATTTCTTCTTCTCATTAAAGGTGATGTCTTTATATTTCCAGAATTTAATTTATTATCTATACTTTAACTATTATTTATCAAAATACCATCACCATCTTGACAAGAAGTATTTGATTATATTTTTGGTAAATAAAAATTATTTGATTTTCTTTTTTAGATTTAATGTACTTTACTATTATTTTGTGTCATTGAAATAGATGATTGTCTTCTTAATAAATCATCTTCTGCTTTTTTCAATTTATTTTATTTTTCATTTTAAAATGCTTCTAAATTATCATAATCATTTTTAGATTGTATGGAATTTATATTATCTTATGTTTCTTATTTTAGCAATTTTTTTTACATTCTCTATGGATCAAATATAGATAAAGCTTTAATTACTTAAAATATGTCATTGTAAGCCTTTCATAGTAATTATTATTACTGTTTAATCAGGAGTTGGAGTATCTACAACTAGTTATGTATCGAATGAATAATTAGAAAGTAATTACAAAAAATTAAGTTAATGTAAGTAGGACCATAACTAATCTAAATAATAAATTCCTAATTTAATAATGTCTTCATTAAAATTAATCATTTCGATCAATAGTTAATTTATTGAAGGATTATAAGACATTTCTAATAATTTAGGAAATATTTTTTATTCTATAAGTTATTTAATACAAAACTTAGGTTATAGATTGATTAAAAATTTTAACATCATGGCAAGATGATATAAATTAATATTTTTAGTTTCATCATATAAAGTGATATTAATAAATGCAACTATTTATTAATAATTAATTTACATGTTTTTGCAAAAATTTATGAATATTGACCTAATAAATTTTTAAAGTTTTCAATATTAGTTAGAATTTATAAGGCTCTAAAAGATCTAAATACTTGATATTTACTCAAATTATTAGTTGATTTATATTTAAAGATTTATTTCTCATTATCTATAATATCTGGTAATTTTGGAAAATTTTCAACCTAAAATTTATTTATATCATTTTACCCAAAGAGAAGCTACTGAAATTTAAATAGGATCTAAAACAAATTAAATTAAAATATCAATATTCTCAATTTCTTCAAAAACTGAATTATGTTATAATGGTTATTCTGGATCTTATTTACAACATAAATTTTATATATATAAACTAGGGTCTTATTCAGATGAAACATAAGATCTTCTTTTATTTTATTGTTAAGTTACAGTAATTTATGTTTAACTTACAATTTCTGTATCAGAATCTTCTTCAATTACAACTATTTTATATTTAGTATAAGATGGAAATAATTTTGGAGTATTCTTAAAAACTATATCTATAAAACTAAATATAATTACAAATAATAATTTCTTCACTAAATTAATTAACCCAATCACATTTAGCAAATATTGTAAATCTTAAATCCTAAAAACAATCCATAACATTTTCTATTAATTTTTAATTAGTTGAGTTTTAAATATAGTGTTTAAACATCAGACAATAAAGTTAAAAATCCAACTACAAATTATTTGCTAATTCAAAAAATTTCTTTAAGTATTTTACAGTAAACAATTTTATTGTAACTATTTCCTAAGTTACTGCTTAGCTGAATTATTATCCATCATGGCCATCTTTTGGTTTGCTTTGAAATGTAATTAATGAATACTTATTAAACCGTTATAACATTGTAATTCTTTATTTTAAAGTTTATGTACTAGTTTCCTGAAGCATAGAAATATCTGATGAAGCCTCAAAGAAGCTACTTATGAAACGAAAATCCTGGAAATACTCAAAAAATGCAGAAATTAAAGATTCTATGTTTGATTTTTAAAAGGGATATAAACACATTACTATGAAATTATTGAAATAGAGATTACATTAAAACAATAGTTTTGAACTAGAAAATGTTGTTGCTTAAGGTAATTTTTAAGTTACATATTTTATACCTTCTGTAATTTTTAACAACCTCAAATAATCATCATTTGCGTTGAGCTAAATATTAATAATGGATTTACAGCTTAGTCAAACACTAATGCTATATTTTAATCTGGAACTAACTTAAATGATTAATCCCACATAAAACTTGTCATTTAATAAATTAAATATTAACTTTATCAATTCATGAAAAAATGTTGTCATGTAATCAAATTCATTCTAATTATACTAATTAATGTAAAATATTCATAATATTAATTTTATGTATAGATATAATTATTCGTTTTTACTACTAATTCTCTTTTCATATTACATATTTAGATAAATCTATGAAGATATTTTAGTATGAATATTGATATCAGAATCAAAGAAGGATTTGATTTAAAAATAAATAAAACTTATAGTTTTTATTACAGATTTATATTATTTAATCTATTGCAACACATTATATTCTAAGTGTGTTATTTTTAAGTAATTATTATAAACTTAGAATTACTAAAATGTATATGATCAATTATCGTTTTTCAAACTTATTCTATTTCTAAATGATCTTTAACTTAATCTATGTGCCAGTTTCTTCCCTGATTATGGTAATTTAGGTGTAGATGATAGTTTTTATTTTTCTTATTATGCTAATTCAAATTATTTAATCTCTCTTAATTTACTATCAAAACAATCAACAGTCAATTAAGATTTTAATTTTTCTAGTTTTGTTCTCTTAAGTTGAATTCTTCTGATTGGGGTTTATCCTGTTTTTAGAAGCTCTTACAATTCAATCATATAATTTGAATCTTCATCAGGAATTAATTTATAAACACCTTTCCATGATTCTAATGGTTGCAAGTATTCTTTTAAAATCTACATATTTCGATGATTAAGTGCCTTATTTATCATGTATATAATCATTTTCATATAAAAATAGACACCTGCTTAAAAATAACTGCTTTTCATGCCATTAACTAAAAATTATTATAAAGCATTATATATTGAATTTACTAATCCAAGATTAAATAATATATTAGTTAGTGATTATATGGGAGCTTTAGCAAATAAAATTGTTAAAAATTTAGTAAAGAAATGCTAATAACAATTATTTTATTGACTATCAAAAAACCATATAATAAAAATATGCATAACAGTTTCATTTAAATGCTTATAAATATTTGATGCACTTACTAACTAAGTATGTATGCTAAACAAATTAAACCCAAAAAAGTAAGTTTATAATAAAAGTTATAATTAACACTTATTCACAAATTTTGATGTTGATCTCATCTATTTATTTATTGCCACAATAGCTCTTGTTAGGTTGTCAACATTAGCTAAAAAGATTGTTCTTAGCTATTCTCTTAATAACTGAAAGAGTTCAATATGATGGCTTTTATTATATATCAAATTAATTAGTTGTCCACAACTTTCTCCAATTTTTTATTATTATACATTTTAATCAATTATGCTTGACAAGTACATTTCAAAAATTGAATTTAAAAAATTCATACTCAATATTTATTGTATGAGAATTTATTCATTTAGTTACTATAAATTAGTCTTATTAGGTTACTAAAAATAATCTAGTATAGTTTTTAGTATCTCACTAAAGAAGCTTAAAAAATTTTCAACAATTATTTAATCTTATCGTTAAACAATTTTTGATTATTCAAATCTAATTTATGCTTATTTAGATGGATATATAGTTATAAGTCTACTGCTAGAAAAGCCATCATTTGATTAAATAGAATTAGTAGGAATATCATCATTTTCTGTTTTGAGTCTTCTTTAACTAGCTAAACCAAGTTTGCTATTTTTAGGAGATTATCCGAATAAGCTTAAATTTCTGCTTTTTTAATCAAGACTAATTTCTCCCTAAGAACCATAACTTTACAATGCTCCAAATTTGGATTCATTATATTAATTATTTCCATATATAGATGGTAATTTAATAGAACGACTGCTATTAGGTTAACTATTACTTTGACTTTAATTAGGAGAGATTGATTATTAAATTAATTTGGAATTAGACATAGGTGATTTACAATGTATACTATTGACTTATGACATACGTACTCTAGAAGATCTTTTTAATTGAATATTCTCAATTTAAATCTATAATTCATCTTAGATTTTTTTTTCCAATTATTATTTATAGATTTAGTCTCTCTATTTTATAAATTCCATTAAATTATCATAATCTTAAGATTTAAATTCTTCTATTGTTAAATGTTCTTTTAATTTTTAGTTCAATTTCCAATTATCATAATCTTTGGCATTTTAAATCATAGAATTTTTTCCAGATTCAAGAGATCCAAATAATGATGTTAATTTAATTTTATTATCTTCAGAGGTTTTAGGTTTTGATATTTTCAATTCCTTCTTTCCCAATTCTTTCAGACATTTTATTATGAATATCTAGAATAAATATATATATTTACTATGTTATCTCCCTTAAATTATTAGTCTAATTATTTTTAATCATTTTCTTTTTCAAATAATATGTTTTGTAACCACATAAACCAATCAGTAAAAAGTTAATATTTCCAAATTTATTCAGTAAAAGCAGGACCAAAATCATATTTGTTAAATTAGATTTAATGTATATCAATAAATAATCCCATGATTAATGGATTATAAATATAATTTGATAATGTAAAAAGTAATTAATTTTCGAAAATAAGAGCCATTGAAGTTTTAGGAAATGCACTTAAACAAGAATCTATAGTTAGAGACAGATGATACAAATTTAAATTAATATTCTTATTTTAAAAAGACTCCTAAGTTTACTTAACTATTTAATATTTATTAATATTACAAAGCTTCTATAAAAAAGTTGGATTATATTATTGTATTTTTTCTAGATTCTATTTATGATGAAATATTTAAGCAGTATTAAAAGATCTCACTAAGGCATAAAATTCAATTTTCTAATTTCTTATCTTATTAGATATTCCATCATCAGTTATATCTACCATAGGATATTGATCTTTCTGAAATATTAAATTACACTACCCAACAATCTTCTATTTATTATTCAATTGGATTTAAAATAAAATCAATTAAGACATGTAAATTATCATCCTTGGAAACTATTTCTATTTATTATTATTCAAAAATAAATTATTTTTATGCAATCCATTTTTATAACAATTCTTCTTCATCTATTAAAGATTAGTTTTCACTATCAGATTTTGAACTAGATAATTAATTTTGTTAAGGAGAATCATCATCATCTGAATTACTATCTGATTATATTTACTCTTATTACTTAGGCTTATTTTACTTTTCTATAAAATGAGGTACTAAAATATTATGTTAAGCACAATCTAAATATTATTATTTTATTTATACATTATTCAATTTCTTCATCAAAATCAACTACCCATTTTTAATCCTTCAATTCAGATTCTTTTAATTCTTCAAATGTATTTATTAATAATATTATAAAATGATGATCTCTAGTATTTACTACAAAATCCTTTATTATAAAAATTCTTTATTTTATGTCTTAATTTAAAGTTTTTGCTAATAAAATATATTTTTTGATAAAGGAAGCTGCAAATTTCTTTGCTACTGTTAATTACTCTATTACAGCCTTAGCAAATGGTATAGCACTTTATTTTAATTATTCTTTTCTTATATTCAAATTATTATAACTATCATCTTATAAAAATTGTTACTTTTGCTAAAGAACACCTATCCTAAGGGATTGTGATCTCACACTTAAAAATACTCTTTATTCTTTCAATTAAGCGATTTCCAGTAAAGTTTTTTCGAAAGCATTAAGAAATTCAATATCTTAAAAATAGTCAAAAATTGTGTTCATCAATAATTATATTACCTCCTACTGAAATGGATAAGAACAAATCACTAATTTAATTATTAATGTATTTTTACTGTATTTTAATATCTGCCAATTATTAAAAGTTCTAATTCTCATAATTGCCCCTGCTACTAGTTTAATGGCATCACTTATTTTTGTTAATCTTTAATACTCATCTTCTTCTCCAAGCTGTATATTAGATAAATAAATTTAAATACTGCTTCTTCAAATAATAAATGGTTCATTTCTAAAATATGATAAAAATAGTTACTAAATTATTTATTATTACTTAATCAGAAATAAGTAATAGAAGTAATACAAAATCATGTTTAAAAATTTTGTATAATTTTACCTATTAGATTTTAATAATAGTTATGAGAATTTTAATATAAGAATATATTTACAGATCCTACTTAAAAAATATATAAACAAATGATATTTTATGTAATTTCCTTTTATTATTGTTCGAGTACAGATATATATTAATTATTCTCTAACTATTCACATCTATTTCAGAAAATTAAACTTCATTTTATTTTGAATAAACTAATTTATTGATGGATTTTTGAGAAATTTTTTGCCAAAATTTAATAGTTTTATTAAAAATATAATTATTATAAATGCAAATAGCAAAACCAATAATTTATGGAACGATCGCAACTTGGCTTGGTAGAAGATCAGATGAAAAGAAAACACATTCATGGATTTGCTATGTAAGAGGGGTTCATAATGAAGACTTATCTTATTTCATTGAAAAAGTAATATTTGTATTGCATAGTTCATTTGAAAATACTAATAGAGGTAAAATATTAAATAAATATTTTAGTTGTAACTCAACATCCATTTGTGATAGCAGAAACAGGTTGGGGTTAATTTGATATCATTATAAAAATATATTTAAAGGGTGATTATGATTAACCTATGATTGCAGTACATCCATTAAAATTATATTAAAACTAAACATAAAATATTCCATTAACTAGGAAACCTGTTGTAAGTGAATAATATGATGAAATTGTATTTATTAACCCAAAAGTAATTAATTAATCTTAACATAGTCTGAATTATTAGAAATATTAAACTAAATGCCTAACTAAGAAAATAATTAAGTAGAAGAAGAAATTTAAGTAGATTAAAAAGAACCTGATTTTGAATAGATGACTCCTGCACAAATATTAAAATATAATCAACCCAATTTTACAATTTTTGATATAAATGAATCAAAAGTAACTATTGAAAAAGCAATATAAATTGTTAGTTAAGATATATTAGCAGATTATAAAAGAAAAGTATCATAATTATAAATAATTTATAGAATCATCAATTAGATACAGAAATTTAAGAATTATAAATTGAATATGAAAATCTGTAAAACAAATTATAATAAGTACAATAATAATGAGTTTATTTTTTATATAATCATTCTGCTGATTATTATTAACTTATGCAAAAAATCAATTTAAGAAACTTTATATACACAAAATTACAAATATTATTTTTATTAATCCTTTCAATAATTAAGAATTTTTGTATTTATATGTATAATAATAAAATTATTAAACTAATTGATAAAAATACTTGAAAAGAATATTATAATTTATTAAAATCAAATATAATGATTAACGTAAGAATCATTTTGAAAGAAAATACTTTCAGTTTTTTATTAAGATTGAATATTAGAATTTCTGAGAGCTTATGAAGTAACATTTTCTTTTATTCTATCAGTTATGTTGTATTCAGTTGTCACTTATTTTCTATTTTTTAATTCTTTTCTTTGTTTTGTAACAATTGTTGACCTTGGTCTAGAATAAAAGGTTTTATTGATAGATTATATTCCTTAATTTATTTTATTTTAAATATCTTTATGATTATTAATAGGAGATTAGTATTCCACTCTTTCATCCATACTAACAACTCTATTTGTTTATCTTTTATTAATATTCATTAATGATTAAGATCTGCTTAAAGCATTATCAATCAACCAATTAAAGGAATGAACATTAAAATTCATTTTGCCTCCATAAGGTTTATTAAGTATTCCTTCTAATTCTTTTTTTTTATCTTAAGCCCAAATGATTGGTTATCTTTTTCCCTTACTCGATTCTACAATCATCATTCCTAAAAGTTTATTTGCAACTTTTAATGTTAAAAATTTGCTAGTTCCATCTTCATTATTATCTTTATTGATGCTTTCTGAAAATTCACTACTAAACAAACTATATTAAATATAAAAATTTCATTACTCAAATTAAGAATTTCTTTTTTATAATTATTAATCTGAATTAGTTGAAGTCATCTTTTACTTTTGTACATTTGATTGAATAATATCTGGTTAATTATCCAATTTTTAAAAGATTTCTTTTTAAAATTCTAAAGGAAATTGCATAATTCTTTTATCTTCTTTATGAGCTACCCTAAAAGCCTCAAATGTTTTCATTTAAGGATCTAAAAAATGAAAATATAGTTTACTTTCATCATGTTATCTATCTTTAATAAATAATCTAATTTTTTTTTCTAAATAATAATGAAGTTTTTTTAACACTTCTATTTCTTTTATTTTATTCAATTTTCCTCTCAATTCTAATCTTTCATTCATTTTTCTTTCAATATTTTTCTATTTAAGCTTTTCTGATATATAGAGAAACTCTTTAACTGATCTAATTTCATTGATATGAGAGTAATATTTAAGAGGTATTTAAGATTGAGATTCCATTGCCTTATTAATCTTTTCTTATTTCTATATAAATTCTTCTTTAGGTATGAAAGCTTCTGTTTCTTTTAATCTTTTAATGTAAATTTATTCTGCAGTTGTTCGATGAGGAGTTTATATTTTAGTTGTAACTGCAGATTGCTTAGAATTAATAATTTATTTATCCATGGGATTTTATAATATTTATTTTATTTATGATATAACTTTCATAATTATGGATTTCTGAAATTCTTTCCAGCATAAACAGCTTTACTTCCTAATTCTTCTTCAATTCTAAGGATTTAGTTATACTTAGCTGTTCTTTCAGATCTACATGGAGCACCTGTTTTAATTTATCCAGTTCCCAAACCAACAACCTATGATAAAAATATAATATTACCAAGTCACCAATAAAATTATCTTCAGTTTCTCCTGATCTATGACTAACCATAACACCAAATCCATTCTTTTATGAAAGATTTGATGCTTCAATTGATTCAGTCAATGATCCAATTTAATTAACTTTTAATAAGAGAGCATTGCATGCCTTTCTATTAATAGCTTCTTGAACTCTAATTGGATTAGTAACCAAAAGATCATCACCAACAATTTGAACTTTTTAACCTATTTTAGCTGTAAATTAAGTATATCCTTCCCAATCATCTTAATCAAATGGATCTTCAATAGAAACAATTGGATGTTATGATACAAATTTAAGATATAATTCTGTCAATTATTATGCAGTCAATTTCTTAGATCCATCATTTTTAGCATTCTTGAAATCTAAATCATAAGTGTTTTTTTCAAAAAATTCAGATGCAGCAACATCCATACCAATATCTACTTTACCAGTATGTCCAGCTTTCTTGATAGCATCTTCTAATAATTGAAGTGCTTCATTTGGATCTTAAATTGAAGGTGCAAATCCTCCCTCATCTCCAACATTAGTAGCATCCAATCCATATTTAGATTTGATGACACCCTTTAAGCTATGATAAACCTCACATCCAATTTGAATAGCTTCTTTGAATGATTTAGCACCTGTTGGTAAGATCATAAACTTAGAATTATTATATGTTATTTCATACTTCTTGCATAGCTAATTTATTTCCAGCATGTTTTCCACCATTAATGACATTAAGTGAAGGCACTGGTGTAACAAATTTATCTGTTCTCTTACCTGCCAATTAAGCCAAATAATAATAGAGTGGAATATTCTATTCAGCTGCTCCTGCTCTAGCCAAACTTAATGAGACTGCCAATATAGCATTTGCTCCTAATTTACTCTTTGACCATCCATATTTATTTTTGCTTCCATCTAGTTATTCAACAATAAGTTTATCCAATTTTGTTTGTTCGGTCACATTCTTACCTATCAAATTATTTTATACTTTTACCAACCAAAGCTGGTCTAATGATCTCATTTACATTAGCAACAGCCTTACTTACTCCTTTTCCAAGGTATCTTGATTTATCTCCATCTCTCAATTCTAAAGCTTCATAAATTCCAGTTGAAGCACCAGAAGGCACTGCTGATCTGAAAACACCTTTTGATGTAATTACATCAGCTTCCACTGTTGGATTACCTCTAGAATCCAAAATTTCTCTTGCGATAACATTTTTGATACTCGAGAATCCACCCTTTATTTTCATTTAATAAGATATTTTTAATCAATATATATATATTTTATGTGTATTTATTTCTCAATACTATTATTATGATAAGATCTTACATTGTAAAATTAAGATTATTTATATTATTACTAAATCTAAAGTTTATTCATTTATATTAATAATCAACAAACTCTTTTTAATTTGCAGATTATCATTCTATTTTAATATCATAAATAAATATAAATAGTCTTAATATTTGTGTTATCCATTATTTTATATTTCAATAAATTTTAAGTTAATCTACTTTCCAAATTTTAAGTTTATTATTACATCTTATATTTAAAATTAATTGAAAATACAGATATAACATAAAAATTTATACTTTTAAAGAAAAAATGAAAAAACAATTGATATTTATATACAAAATATTCATTAATCATTATACTCTAATTTCTACTTTCTCAATATATAATGTCAATTTAATAAAATTAAAAGGGGTCAATAATTATTTGATAAGAAGAAGAATATTCACCATTATGATGGTCTGACATTTTTGCAGTTATTTTTATTAATTTATGAATTAATGTCTTAATAAATTATTTGGATCACTAGATCACTTATATGAGGCTTTATTTCAAAAAATAATTGAAATATTTGCAAGAAGAGGGATCATTAGACCATTAATTCGAAGACCAACAGTCCCAGTTATAGAATTACAACCAATTGAACATTAATTAAAATAACCATTAGTCTTACACTCTTGTACATCTACACCTGTGTTTGCTTAAAGTGAGTCAATTTATCGTAGAGCAGAATCAGAGAAAGATTTTAGAAAATATGTAATACCGAAGTATATAATTTAATTAATTAAGTCTAGGTGACACTATAAATAAAGTGGACTCTTATTCTAGAGATGTTAGTTTGTTAAATTTATTTGAAGATAATTAGGAAAATAACTAGAATTTAAAATTATAGGATATTTATGAAAAAGGACATAAATTGTAGACAATAATTGAGGAAAATAAAATTTAATATAATAGTCATGAAGGATATCAAAGTCAAAACTAATCATAACAATTTATACAAAATCAATAATAACCATTAGATAGTAATAATCATAAGGAATAATAATAATAATAATAATAATAATAATATAATTTAAACTCTTAAGAATAAGATTAAAATGAGTAGTTTTATTCTATAATTGATAATCCAGTCAAAATTACTTAATCTGAATAGTTTTATAGTATAATAGATAGAAGTTCTTTTAGACTTAGTTTTAACAAATAATAATCTAAGAAATGATTCAATTAGTTTATTTTAAATAGTTTAATGAATTAATTTTTGATTATTAATATTAAGATTTAATTCAATTATCAAATAATTTATTGTGAAATCATTTAATCTATCATTATTTATAGTTTTTAAGTGAAACAATTATTTTAATTGAAAGTTTAAAATATTGCTTAAGCCTAAATATTTAATTTTAATAATTACATCCATTAAAATATTTACTCCATTAAAATCGAAAGCTGATAATGTAGTCACTTGCTTTAATATTAATTCAGGATCATTATTTTTACATAATTAAAATATATCAACATATACTTATTAAGTCTCATCCAAACCTTTCAAATAAAAAAGAAGATTGATTTCTAGATTTATAAGGTCTTAATTATTCTATTCAAATATTTATAATAATTTTCTATTTTAAAGTAATAACCCTCTAATTATGGTGAAAATATTTAATCTATTTAATCGAGGTAATTCATTCATCCATGATATATATAAAATAAATTATTCTTATATCCAAGGTCTTAAAGCTCCTTATTTCATTAAGAAATGAGCTTTTAGAGGATGTTTATTCTATTTAAACCAACTCATTAATTCATCTTCTGCAGCTTCTAAATGAAATATGATAGTTGATAATTATTCCAACTATATAAAACAATCTGTTAAAATCAAATGAAGATCTGCAATCTGATAATGAATTTATCTTTGAAATTATTTACTCACTATTCTATATCCAATAAGTGCTTTTTCAGCAGCAGAAATACTCCAAGTTAATATTGTTTTGTTGGTGATTCCTTTATTAATCCCTTCATAAATTCCTATGGCAAAATTATATAGATTAATATGAGAATTAATTCTATTGCTTTCCTCGATGCTTAATTATTTTATTAAAAATAAATGATTTAATCTTTCCTTCATTTAATTTCTTTATTAAACATAATTTTATATCTTAATTAGATTTGAATTATTACTTATAACTCATATGTGCTTCCTATTTATTCTTGAACAAGTTCTACTCCAATAGGAGAAGAATAACACAAAAATATCTAAGATAATACTTTAAATAAATTCTGTTGAGTTGCAAAATTTTTAACTTAAAAGAAAAATGAAAGTATAGCCTAAATACTTGGCATATTGAATTTTTCATTTTGTGTATTAGCTAAAACCTCTAAATAATTTATGATTGTTTCTTATATGAATTACTCATCAATTAAATGGTAATATTGATTATCAGAATCTTCTGTTATTATCTGTAATTATTAAACATCAAAAAGACCTTTAAAAATAGGCATATTATTGTAAATTTTCTATCATAATTTATTGAATAATATATTTACATAATTAGCTTTATCAACATAGAGTATAAAATTAGATTTCATTTATATAGTATAAAGAAATGAGATTAGTTCTTCAAGCAATGGTTTTGCTTCTTCATAGTCTTTTAAATTAATATAATATCTTGCCAAAAGACTCTTAATAATTGAAGAATAAACAGTTATATTTTCAAATTACATTTTAATGAATCTAAATAATATTTAAATTTACATGTCGATTTCTTCAAAGGTAATTTCACCTTTAATTGATTTTTGTATGGATATGTATAATTAGTAAATATTCTTTAATTTTATCAATTAAGGATATGATGCAAATAATTTAAAATGATCTTCTAATATATCAATATTGAAATCTGGATCTTGATGAAAAAATTAATTGTAAATTAAATATTTAAGATTTAAAATTTGTTGATTTGATGAAAAAGATCTAATATCTGTTGTTCTTTTAAATAAACAATCATAAGGATATAGATATTCAAGTACATCTTAATTACATTCAAGCATACTAATATGTAAATCATCTACAAATGATAAATGAGCATTTTAGAATAGTTATGAATCTAAATGAATCAATTTAACAGATGTCTTAATTATTAATTCAACAATTTCCTTTTATCCTTTAGAAAGATAAAAATGGATTAATGCCAACACTGCCAAAGAAGGTTTTACTTATTCTCCAAATAGATCCAGAATATTCTTAAAATATTATTCTTTTTCTTATATACTATAATATTAAGACACATAGAAAAATGAGCTTACTATTTAATTAATTTAATTAGATTTCACATTAGATTTCAATTCAAATAATGAAAAAGGTTTTTATAATATTTGAAATGCTTTCAAACGATGTGCATCACTTTAANTCTTGAACAAGTTCTACTCCAATAGGAGAAGAATAACACAAAAATATCTAAGATAATACTTTAAATAAATTCTGTTGAGTTGCAAAATTTTTAACTTAAAAGAAAAATGAAAGTATAGCCTAAATACTTGGCATATTGAATTTTTCATTTTGTGTATTAGCTAAAACCTCTAAATAATTTATGATTGTTTCTTATATGAATTACTCATCAATTAAATGGTAATATTGATTATCAGAATCTTCTGTTATTATCTGTAATTATTAAACATCAAAAAGACCTTTAAAAATAGGCATATTATTGTAAATTTTCTATCATAATTTATTGAATAATATATTTACATAATTAGCTTTATCAACATAGAGTATAAAATTAGATTTCATTTATATAGTATAAAGAAATGAGATTAGTTCTTCAAGCAATGGTTTTGCTTCTTCATAGTCTTTTAAATTAATATAATATCTTGCCAAAAGACTCTTAATAATTGAAGAATAAACAGTTATATTTTCAAATTACATTTTAATGAATCTAAATAATATTTAAATTTACATGTCGATTTCTTCAAAGGTAATTTCACCTTTAATTGATTTTTGTATGGATATGTATAATTAGTAAATATTCTTTAATTTTATCAATTAAGGATATGATGCAAATAATTTAAAATGATCTTCTAATATATCAATATTGAAATCTGGATCTTGATGAAAAAATTAATTGTAAATTAAATATTTAAGATTTAAAATTTGTTGATTTGATGAAAAAGATCTAATATCTGTTGTTCTTTTAAATAAACAATCATAAGGATATAGATATTCAAGTACATCTTAATTACATTCAAGCATACTAATATGTAAATCATCTACAAATGATAAATGAGCATTTTAGAATAGTTATGAATCTAAATGAATCAATTTAACAGATGTCTTAATTATTAATTCAACAATTTCCTTTTATCCTTTAGAAAGATAAAAATGGATTAATGCCAACACTGCCAAAGAAGGTTTTACTTATTCTCCAAATAGATCCAGAATATTCTTAAAATATTATTCTTTTTCTTATATACTATAATATTAAGACACATAGAAAAATGAGCTTACTATTTAATTAATTTAATTAGATTTCACATTAGATTTCAATTCAAATAATGAAAAAGGTTTTTATAATATTTGAAATGCTTTCAAACGATGTGCATCACTTTAATGATCATAAGATATTTATTTTAAAGCAATTTCAGCTAGATGTAAAAGATTACTTGATTCACAACACATATTTTCAAAATGTTTTCTAGAAAAGGTGAAACATAAAGATTAAAAATAGAATACTCTAAATTATAATAATCCTGAACTATGAAACCAAGAATTAGATTCTATTGATATTTCATTATGAAGTAACTTTAATCTAACAATTAAACTATTCTATAAAAAACCATGATTTAAATTAGATATATCTAAATTTTAAAGATTAATTGAATGATCTAATGGTCTATAATTATCTAGATGTAATATTTAATGTATTGCTCTAATTTCATATAATAAATAATTTAGATCGAATTTATTTTATCCAACTATTTTACTTAAGAAAAGCCGATTATCTNAATTAATATAATATCTTGCCAAAAGACTCTTAATAATTGAAGAATAAACAGTTATATTTTCAAATTACATTTTAATGAATCTAAATAATATTTAAATTTACATGTCGATTTCTTCAAAGGTAATTTCACCTTTAATTGATTTTTGTATGGATATGTATAATTAGTAAATATTCTTTAATTTTATCAATTAAGGATATGATGCAAATAATTTAAAATGATCTTCTAATATATCAATATTGAAATCTGGATCTTGATGAAAAAATTAATTGTAAATTAAATATTTAAGATTTAAAATTTGTTGATTTGATGAAAAAGATCTAATATCTGTTGTTCTTTTAAATAAACAATCATAAGGATATAGATATTCAAGTACATCTTAATTACATTCAAGCATACTAATATGTAAATCATCTACAAATGATAAATGAGCATTTTAGAATAGTTATGAATCTAAATGAATCAATTTAACAGATGTCTTAATTATTAATTCAACAATTTCCTTTTATCCTTTAGAAAGATAAAAATGGATTAATGCCAACACTGCCAAAGAAGGTTTTACTTATTCTCCAAATAGATCCAGAATATTCTTAAAATATTATTCTTTTTCTTATATACTATAATATTAAGACACATAGAAAAATGAGCTTACTATTTAATTAATTTAATTAGATTTCACATTAGATTTCAATTCAAATAATGAAAAAGGTTTTTATAATATTTGAAATGCTTTCAAACGATGTGCATCACTTTAATGATCATAAGATATTTATTTTAAAGCAATTTCAGCTAGATGTAAAAGATTACTTGATTCACAACACATATTTTCAAAATGTTTTCTAGAAAAGGTGAAACATAAAGATTAAAAATAGAATACTCTAAATTATAATAATCCTGAACTATGAAACCAAGAATTAGATTCTATTGATATTTCATTATGAAGTAACTTTAATCTAACAATTAAACTATTCTATAAAAAACCATGATTTAAATTAGATATATCTAAATTTTAAAGATTAATTGAATGATCTAATGGTCTATAATTATCTAGATGTAATATTTAATGTATTGCTCTAATTTCATATAATAAATAATTTAGATCGAATTTATTTTATCCAACTATTTTACTTAAGAAAAGCCGATTATCTAATGATTATTCTATTGTACTATAAGTTACAACTTATTTCCAATTAAATTAAAAATCGTTTGATGGTTCATAATTTGATGGAGTTAAATAGGTTTACTCTATCCATTTATTCATTCTAACAATAATAAATTTACCAATTTGACAAGTTCTATTAAATTCAATATAAACTGAAGGTAATTCAGATTTCTACATAACTTTTAATTATGCACAAAAGTACTCAAAAACTGGTGATTCAATTTAATTTTAAATGAAATCTATGCAATCATTTTAAAATGTTTCTTTACCACCATCATACCAAACTAATAGTTGTAAATATTTATAAAAAAGCAATTAAGTACAATAATTTGGAGAATCATAGAATTCTTTTTATAATTCAAATGCCTATTCCTAATATTACTTAAGTGTAGCATCTAAAGTAGGAGATTATTAATCAAAATTAAATTGACTAGGACTAAGATCTTAAGGATCTTCAATTACTAATTAAATTTTATGATCTGAATGAATTATTTCAGTTTAAATTTTCTGAATGTTTTCTAATAGTTATGCAGAATATAAAAAATTCTTATTAAAATATAAATATATAGAATGTAATGCTTATAATTATAAAGAGTATCTCTATAATTCTTTTTTAAGTTAACAAATTACTTTAATATAATTTGGATGCTTTCTTATTTTTTATATTAAAAGCATTCTATCAGCTGCTGATAAATCAATCTAAGATTTGGATCTGGTTAATTTTCTTCTTAATAAAATCTTTTATTCAGTAGTACTAAGTTATTCTAATTTGACATTTAAACTAAGTTATTTCATTAAATCATCAATATTTTCAATAGATCGAGTTAAAGAATGATATAATTATTCCATTTCAAGTAAAAAGTTTTTTCTCATTTAAAGTAAAGTAGCTAATTTAATATAGATTATTAATAAAATATTTAGTAATAATTTAATTTCAGATTATTTAGATATAATTCTATTTTGATTAACAATTAAATAAGTGAGAAATGAATCCAAGAATTCTTCATTGTCTTAAAACTTTTTTTTCATTAAAAATTTTTCAATTGAATTAATTTCATAAATTGTTTATTCAAATTTTTTCATACGAAAATTTAAATTTATTTAATGTGTTGCTAATGCTAATTAACCTAATATAGTATCTTCTTATTTTATTGATTTATGTCGATCATCTTGATTTATATTATATTCCATAAAAGAATGTTTGCTAATTAATTTATCTAATAATTCATCAATTGTTGGTGATTCATATATCATTAACATTAGTATTGGACGTAAGGAATGTAAAGTATATAATTCTTAATATCCTTTTATTGCATTTTCTACTGGATGCAAGAGAATCATTTCAATTACTACTTATGCTAAATTAATTAGATCATTTTCTTCTTTGTTTGATTATAATAATACATAACTTCTACCATAAAGATAATAATTATTAATGTTGAGATTACCATGACTCTATTATTTTAATAAAATTAGATTAGCATGTAAAAATTCATGCAAATCAGTCAAAGAGTATTCTAAACTATAAAGAGATCGATATTTTATTATGTGCTTTAATGTATATTATGATAAAATCTCATATTTAAATATACAGTAACCTTTAATATAGAAATCATCAACTTAATCAACAATATTTGATAATCTGATTTAAGGATATGCTTTTACATAAAATACTCCTGAATTTATATTACAATCAGGATTTATTCTTAATTTTTATTCATGTCGAATCTATAAAAATTAAATTAAACATTATGTATTGTATTTATCACTACTAATCCAAACTGTTTCACTTAATTATCTTTATAATTTAATTGCCTCTACAGGAAACATCTCTTCTTCAAAATATTACATCATAATTTCTTATAATTTTAGATATTAATAATCGAATACATAAGTATCTCTAAATTTATCTACAATATGAATGTAAATCTCAGATTTTTTTTTGTTTTTATAATAATCCAACATATTTAATTCTCTTGAGCATAAAGGTATTTCAAATTATTCTTTGGAACTAGAAATAATTAATATTTTTACGCATTTCCTAAAGACCAAAAGGCTTTGATAAATTAATCCAAAGTAATTGATTCCTATTTATGAGGATCACCTAAAGCAGCTTCTACTTGATCTTACAAACCAGAATCTCCTTTTAACTTATCAATCAACTTAGTTTTAAAAAAGAAATCTTTAACCATACTTAAGGATCTTGTTTTAATATTTGATTTACGATATTAACTAAACCAAATACCTTTCATTTTTATTATAACTACTTTTGTACTATCAAGCCAAGCATGTTTATTTACATAAGTATCAAATTTTTTCTATAATGTTTCTAATTCTTGAATCTCTTCTAATCTTTTACTTTTTGGATCAAGCATTTTAAATTGTTTTCTAAATTTAAATTTTGCCTTCTCTTTATATTATTCAATAACTTTTTTTTCATTTCTTTTAAATACAATTAATTTTCTTAATTCTAATTATCTCAATACAGATGTCTTTCTTTTAATATATAAGTTTCTTTATGATACTCTTAATTCACACCAAGTAATTTTGTGTTAATTTAATAATTATTTTTAATAAAGAAAATTCATTGATTTTTGAAATTTTTTAAAATAATTTCTTTTCCAAGATTTGATTTCAAATGCCCAATTAAATTTTCTTTTTATAAAATAATTTAACATAACTTGATCAGACATAACTTCTTCTTTTAAAATATCTCTTTATTTTAATTCATTTATTTTTTATTTTAGTATTTATTTTTCTTAAGAAATAGGTTTTTTAGATTTATCATTTACATTATTTACACCTTACTTTTTAACTACAGCAATCTATTCTTTTTTATAGTCATTTTTACATAAGAATTTCATCTAATTTAAATCATAATGACTTTCTAAATCATCTTCTGAACTTACTGTTTCAAATTCTCCAGCTTATTAATCATAAACAGTTGAAAATATTTTAAAAATTGGAAATCTTTTTAATACATCTTATTTTGATTATTATCCACTTGATTAATTCTTTGAAAATTATTCTATTGTATTTTTTATTAGATATTTTTATCTATTTATAAATAAACCTAATTCATATGGAATCTAACCAAATGTACCATTCATTATAAAATTCATAGAAAAATTAAAGATTAAAAACATCAAATAAACCATAATTATTTCATATCCATACTTTCTATTATATTCCATAGTCATTTGACCAGTATTTGTTAATATACATACATAATTAATTAATTCTAATATTTTATTCCAAACACCAAGTGATGAATTATTTTATGGCCAAGGTCTTTATAAAAAATAAACAAATTTTGCTTTATCAGCCTACATCTATGCAATGTTTTACACCCATAAAAGAAAAAAGCTAAATGGAAAACTATATCCAAAAATTGATAAAAGTGTATTCTATAAAAATATCTCCATATAATCTTCTAATGTTCCATATCTTTCTTGGCTTATTGCATAAGATTTACGATTAGATTATTCTTAAACATATTTAGATATACTGATCTCTTCGAATTTGTATTTAAAAATAGGAATCTTTTTAACATTAATTATTAATTGAAATATTTTAAGAGTCTTAAAAAAGAATACCCATATAATCATTGTAGCAAAATGATATTAAATATGCTCTTAACAATTTGTCTCCTTACAATAAAGATTAAATGGTTCATTCAAAAATGCTATAATTATTAATGGACCAACATATGATATAAAATATAAAATGTATTTCTTTGTAACAAAACTTTCTTCATAATCTTTAACTGTCTTTTAATTCTCAAAATCAGTTAATCTTGTTGCTATTATATCATAAACTCTATCCAAAAATTAGATTATCACAATATTAATAGTGGCAGTGACCATAACTTCAAATGTTGCATCTCTTATTGTTTCATCCTCCTACATCTTTAATTTTAAAGCAATTGTTAAAATATAAAGACAAATAACAATTCCACAATATAAAATAATTAATAACATTAAAATCAATGTGGCTAAAAGCATCCTTGAATATAATTCAAGTTCATTAATTCCAACATTATTCAATTAATCATTTTCTACTGATCTCCTATGTTTTCCAATAAAATTACTTCTCTAAACCTAAATCTCATCCTTTCCTGATTAACCAAATTATAAATTGAATATCAATTACTTTTTTTACCAAACAACTACAAATAAATTTGTCCACTAAATTTAAACAAATGCAAAGATTATTCTTAATAAATAATTTAAATCTGTTTTATCATCCTAAATAACCCATTATACCAAATTACATCCTAAAGCAATGAAAGCTATCTTAAGTAACATCTTTGTATAATAAGTCTAATAATAAAAATATAGACCTATTTTCTAACCATAATATTCACAAATCAATACTATTGGAGCACTCCAAGGCTTTTAAATATTAAATGCCCATTCAAATTCTAAATGATACATCTTTTTTCTATAAAAATCATCCTCTAAAATCAAATCATTTTATGCAGAACTTAAATGTCCAAATAATTCATAATGATCATTAACACAAAAAAATTATGATACAACTTTCTAATTAATCAAATCATTTAATAAAAACATATTATTTATTGCTTAATCTGTTAATTTCAATCTTTCAGAAGTAGAAAACAAAGATATTTTCTTAAATTCATTTATTTGATATTTACACCAACACATAATATGTTAAAATTTCATCATTGGAGAAATAAGCATGCTAGGTTTAGAATAATTAACATAAGGCTCTAATCTTTAAACATCAATTAAGTCCCAAATAGTGAAAAGCAATTGTTTTTAACTATTTGCTACTTTAAGAGCTTCTTCAAATATACTTTAATAATTAGATGCTAAACGTTCTTTCTTAAATAATTTAATTAATTTTGAATTAGGAACTTAATCCTCTGTTAAAAAGTCTTAATATTCCTATATAACACTAAAAACCCTTTATTATATTTTTTTTATTTCTTATTAATGAAATCTATTAGATTCTTCTTTAATATTATTTTTATTTAATTTTTTTATTTCATCTTTCTTATAATTTCTAATAACATATAAATCATATGGTTTTAATTGCTTATTAATTATAGCAGCAACATCACTATCAATTTTAAAATGTTTCCTATGTTTTGATATTTCCTTTTCTAAATGAACTAAATATTAATAGTAAGCAAACCATTATTCATCAGTTGGTTATTCTTCATCATCTTATAAATCCATTTTCCCATATTAAAACAATTACCCATTTATTCTGCTTTGATTAGTCTCTCTAGAAACTCTTTTAAAATTGATTTCATCTAATAATTTAATGATTTTCGGTCTAAGATATAAAAACATCTCTGTAACATCATCATAATCACTTGGCTTCCATATTCTATTATTCAATCTCAATGGCCTATAACAATTATCAACTGGTTCTAATGAAAAAAGATCTGTAAACCAAAAATTCAATTTCTTTTTTAACTTTTATCTTTCAGCTAAACTTTTTAAATTTTCTTCATGAGCATATAATCTACATAAAATATACTTTCCATCATCTGTTATACAGCTTCTAACACTAAAACCATTCATCATTATTTAAATAAGCATGATTTATCTAATTAATGTAAGTACATCACTGGTATCTTCATGACTTCTCTACCATTTTCCATTAATATAAATTAAATAACCACCTCCTTACATTATTTTAGGTTTAATCTCTTTAATAGCAGAATAATCTATATCAAATGTATCAGTTTATTTATACTATTATAAATTTACAGTTTCTGTTCCCATTAATTTATTTTGCATTTACAAAAGTAATATAGAGAGTGTATCCATTTTTTTATAACTTTAACATCTATACCATTATCTTTGATGAATGCTTTCAAAAGGTGTTTAAATATTTTCTTAATCTAATGGAATCTATTCGAGAATTGTTTCTGATTTCAAATTTGAGTTTTACTTTAATCCATACTTACTTTTATTTCTTCTTAAATAAGGACTCAGCTTTGTATACACTCCTTCAATAGCTTTCATAAATATTTAATTGTCTATTTTCTTCATGTCTAATTTAAGAACTTTTTCTATAAAGAGGATTGTATCGATAGGTGACATAATTTCTAACTATTCGCATTATAAACAATCAGGATTAGGAAACCTTTATTAATTATCAATATTTACTTTAATACTGCCTCTGGTAAGATATTTTCATCAATCTATCCAATGAATCGACCAAATTTATTATTCAACTTTTATTCATCTTTACTTTTTATCCGTCTTCCAAGTAAGAGTTTTAAATATATTTCATAAGTTTATAAATATTTATTGACTGTTTTCACCATATTCTACATTTTTTAATTCTTTAAAGATGATCTGCCAATCCTTTAATTGTTACCATTATTTTTCTCCAAAACAGGATCATGAATAACATCAAAATTCACAATATTCTTTTTATTCCTTTATGAATTAGATTCACTTGATTAGCTTGAAGGAGAGAGATTAGAATAACTCATTAAACTAATATATTATTATTACATCTTATTCCTAATATCATTAATATTTTGAAAATTTCGTTTATTTTGTGAAAGACTGAATAATTAATTCATTCAATTCCCATCTCTACATTAATGAAAACAAAATTCTTCATCAATTTTCAGTAAATTGGATTAAAATAATTAAAGAACAGAAAAGTATATTCTTCTTGAATTCAAAACTATAAAGAATTTTTTTATTTTACTAAAAATACATTAATAAAAATAAATAAAGAAACTAAAAAAAAGTTTAAAGATTAAATAAGCTTAATATTAAAATCAATAATTTTTATATTGCTATATTAAATTATTCTGGCATTAATTTATAAAACAAATAAATGAAAATAGCTTATATAAAGGTTCAATTTGAAACAGATTAATAGATAAGTTAAATTATAAACAACTTTATTCTAATGATTTCCATTCATTTATTCATTTCATATCATTTTTTTTGCTATTGTATTAACAATCATAGTCCTTAAAGATGTTTATCCATTTTTTATCTGTTTAAATATACATGTATAGATTAATTAATATGCTAATTTTCTTTTAATTACAAATTGTTATTGCTTAATGGACAGTTTATTATAGCTCTTTTCATCAAGCTTCATTACTTTATTGTTCAGATAATAAATGTCCATTTGGATTTAAGTAAAATTAGAGTACAAAAAGTGCCCTCTTTAAAAATTGTAATAATCCAAAAGGAACAGCTTTAATTTTGTAAGATTCATAAATGACAACTGTCTCAAATTACTAATAATCAACTTAGAATCGTTATTCATATAATCATACAATTGTATTTGACGTATACTATATTACATAATGGAATAATGACGCACTGATATTTGAATATGAAAATTAGGCTTATTAATTTATCTATTCTACATAGAATCCATTATAATTTGAAAATGGAGCGTGCAATTCAGACTAGCATGAAGTAAGAACATATCAAATATCTCTTCCTTATACCACTTAATATACTGATATAAAGTTCAGTATAACCAATTAATAGACAAAAGTGTTAATTAAAAATATTCATTTTTCATATATTTCCTGTCATCCTACTTGCTAAACATGTACAGGAGATGCCTATAATGAGTGTACATCATGCTTTTCAACTGTAGTTCTATAAAATGGAATTTGTCGATGTCAAAAAGGAAAATCATTTTATGGTGGACGATGTTTAGATTATTGTCTACTTCCATTAACGGATAGAAGGAAAAGGTATTGCAAATATTATTAGCCATCTTACTTGTTGTATTTGCATTTAATCAGTTTCTAATATTCTCAATTAATAAGGTGGGATATTATTTATGATCCAAGATATTTGAATAATGAAAATAAAAAAACTTCCCCTTCTTTTGGAATTTTTAGATATTATGAAGGAGCAAGCACTATAATTAATACTACATATTTTGTATATCCATTAGGAGTGTAATTGTATATTTATACATGTAATTCAACTCCAATAAATTCAGGAATTTCTATATATTTAAATGATACCTACTATTCTTCAATATATTATAATGGAATATAATATATTGGGAGTAACATGTATTTTCATTCTGCATCTAACACAGTATTAAGTGGTTGTTAAACTGCAAAAGCTTTATTATTATATGCTAATCTTTATATAGAATAAGGAAGCTTCACTTTTTCAATTAAAGGGAACTTTACGTAAAGATTATATATTTAAATTTAGATCTGGTAATTCTGGATGGTATTTAACTTATGCAATATTGAGTAATGCAAATTGTCCACTGTATTGTTTAAAATGTGAGAAATATTACACTTGTTCATAATGTTTAGATGGGTTTATTGCAGTATCTGATGGAAGTTGTGCAGAATAATGCCCAAAAACTTCAATACTCTAGAATAATATTTGCATCAAATATGATTAAGTGACTAAATGTAAAAATGAATCCAATAATATTAGACTCAAAATATTTTATATAACAATTCTATGATTTTACAGTTCCTAATAATATAAAGTCTTCTTTTGTTTTAGAATCTTATACAAGTAAAGACTTTTAAAAAGGTGATGAAATCTATTGGTCATATATTGAAACAAATGTTGTTTATGGAGGAAAATATGTTTGGGCCACAGCCAGATTTTCCTAAATATATACTATTGATTCAGCATACCATTCATTGACTATATATTTTGACGCTGTATTTGGATGCAATTTTGATGGTGTTTTAGGATATTTGGGATATTCAGTAAATAATTAAACTGAACAATAAGTCACTATGAATTCTACAATAAGTATTAATGTTANTTTAGTGGAAGATGTTTAGATTATTGTATCTTTGGGTCTACAGATAGAAGGAAAAGGTATTGTAAATATTATTAACCATCTTATTTCTTGTATTTGTATTAATTCAATTTCTAATATTCTCAATTAATAAGGTGGGATATTATTTATGATCCAAGATATTTGAATCATGAAAATAAAAAAAACTCCCCATTTTTTGGAATTTTTAAATATTATGAAGGAGCAAGCACTATAGTTAATACTACATATTTTGTATATCCATTAGGAGTGTATTTGTATATTTATATGTGTAATGCAACTCCAATAAATTCAGGAATTTCTATATATTTAAATGATACCTACTATTCTTCAATATACTATGATGGAACATAATATATTGGGAATAACCTTAATGTTTATTATACATCTAACACAGTATTAAGTGGTTGCTAAACTGCAAAATATATATAATTATACACTAATCTTTATGTAGAATAAGGAGGCTTCACTTTTTCAATTAAAGGAAACTTTACGTAAAGATTATTTATTTAAATTTAGATCTGGTAATTCTGGATGGTTTTTGCCTTACATTTTAATGAGTAGTGCACACTGTCCACCTTATTGTTTAAAATGTGAGTAAGATTATACTTGTTCATAATGTGTGACTGGGTATAAAATAGTATCTGAAGGAAACTGTGTAAGATTATGTCCAAAAACTTCAATACTTTAGAATAATATTTGCATCAAATATGATTAAGTGACTAAATGTAAACATAATCCAATAATATTAGACTCAAAATATTTTATATAACAATTCTATGATTTTACAGTTCCTAATAATATAAAGTCTTCTTTTGTTTTAGAATCTTATACAAGTAAAGACTTTTAAAAAGGTGATGAAATCTATTGGTCATATATTGAAACAAATGTTGTTTATGGAGGAAAATATGTTTGGGCCACAGCCAGATTTTCCTAAATATATACTATTGATTCAGCATACCATTCATTGACTATATATTTTGACGCTGTATTTGGATGCAATTTTGATGGTGTTTTAGGATATTTGGGATATTCAGTAAATAATTAAACTGAACAATAAGTCACTATGAATTCTACAATAAGTATTAATGTTACAACTCCTTCGCCTACTTTATCAATTTCATTTTAATGTTATGGACCATCTAACAATGTTCTAGATTAATATTGTGCAATCTCACATTATTATATTGTAGTTCATTATTGTAGTCCCTATTGCCTTTAGTGTTTAGATGAAGATAATTGTTAAATAATGGATACTTTTGATGCATCAGTAGTAATACTTAATCCATCATAATGCAGTTCTACTTAGTATTATGATGATGAATATTTAAAATGTGAAGAATGTCCTTAAGAATGTGAAACTTGTCTTAATGAATTTGAATGTCTAACTTGTAAATATCCTTATTAAATTTTCATTACAAAGTGTCTATTATAATGTTAAATAAATGAGTATTTTGATGAATAGAATTAGATCTGTGATTGTAATAAGTTTATATTATATATTAGAATGCAATCCTAAATGCAAACAATGCAAATTGAAAAATGAATGCATTCATTGTGAGTAATCTAAATTTAGATATCTATTTTATGATTAATGCTTATGTTATGATGGTTATTATGATGATAATATTAATATTGAATGTTAAGTATGTAATGTTTTATGTACTAAATGTTTTGGACCATCAAATATGGATTGTCATGAATGCATCATTTTAGATAAAGTTGAAAAAATAGGTAATACTTGTAATTGTGTAAATGGATATTATTTTGATAAATCTAATTAAACATGTATGCAATGCCACCAAAAATGTTCAAATTGTTTTTTATCCTCTGAAGACTCTTGTTTAACTTGCAATAATTTTGAAAATAGAATATTAAATGGACTTAATTGTTCTTGTTAAACTGGATATTTTGAATTAAATGATATTTGTGTCTCATGTCCAAACATTGAAGATTCAAATCTGTATAAATGTTATAAATAATGTGGTGATAATTCTATAATTTGGTTTAATTAAGTTTGCTAACCCTTTTCATGTTTAACTGGATTTACAAATTAAAACAATTAATGTATTCCTATATGTGGAGATCTAATTAAGAATGGGGATGAAGAATGTGATGATGGTAATAATATTTTAGATGATGGATGTTATAATTGTAGATATTAATGTCCAAAATAATGTTTGACTTGTAATGAATTTACAATTTTACCTTGTTTAAATGTATGTGGTGATGGAATCATAAGTGGAACAGAAGAATGTGATGATGGTAATTTGATATAATTTGATGGGTGTTATGAATGTAAACTTGAATGTTAAACCTAATGTACATAATGCATGAGAGGGTTATGCTATTAATGTCAGACTTATGGTTGGATTGTTGACATTGATACAAAAACTTGTGTAGAAAATTGTGGTGATTCTATTGTTGTTGGATAAGAATAATGTGATGATGGATAANCCATTTTTTGGAATTTTTAAATATTATGAAGGAGCAAGCACTATAGTTAATACTACATATTTTGTATATCCATTAGGAGTGTATTTGTATATTTATATGTGTAATGCAACTCCAATAAATTCAGGAATTTCTATATATTTAAATGATACCTACTATTCTTCAATATACTATGATGGAACATAATATATTGGGAATAACCTTAATGTTTATTATACATCTAACACAGTATTAAGTGGTTGCTAAACTGCAAAATATATATAATTATACACTAATCTTTATGTAGAATAAGGAGGCTTCACTTTTTCAATTAAAGGAAACTTTACGTAAAGATTATTTATTTAAATTTAGATCTGGTAATTCTGGATGGTTTTTGCCTTACATTTTAATGAGTAGTGCACACTGTCCACCTTATTGTTTAAAATGTGAGTAAGATTATACTTGTTCATAATGTGTGACTGGGTATAAAATAGTATCTGAAGGAAACTGTGTAAGATTATGTCCAAAAACTTCAATACTTTAGAATAATATTTGCATCAAATATGATTAAGTGACTAAATGTAAACATAATCCAATAATATTAGACTCAAAATATTTTATATAACAATTCTATGATTTTACAGTTCCTAATAATATAAAGTCTTCTTTTGTTTTAGAATCTTATACAAGTAAAGACTTTTAAAAAGGTGATGAAATCTATTGGTCATATATTGAAACAAATGTTGTTTATGGAGGAAAATATGTTTGGGCCACAGCCAGATTTTCCTAAATATATACTATTGATTCAGCATACCATTCATTGACTATATATTTTGACGCTGTATTTGGATGCAATTTTGATGGTGTTTTAGGATATTTGGGATATTCAGTAAATAATTAAACTGAACAATAAGTCACTATGAATTCTACAATAAGTATTAATGTTACAACTCCTTCGCCTACTTTATCAATTTCATTTTAATGTTATGGACCATCTAACAATGTTCTAGATTAATATTGTGCAATCTCACATTATTATATTGTAGTTCATTATTGTAGTCCCTATTGCCTTTAGTGTTTAGATGAAGATAATTGTTAAATAATGGATACTTTTGATGCATCAGTAGTAATACTTAATCCATCATAATGCAGTTCTACTTAGTATTATGATGATGAATATTTAAAATGTGAAGAATGTCCTTAAGAATGTGAAACTTGTCTTAATGAATTTGAATGTCTAACTTGTAAATATCCTTATTAAATTTTCATTACAAAGTGTCTATTATAATGTTAAATAAATGAGTATTTTGATGAATAGAATTAGATCTGTGATTGTAATAAGTTTATATTATATATTAGAATGCAATCCTAAATGCAAACAATGCAAATTGAAAAATGAATGCATTCATTGTGAGTAATCTAAATTTAGATATCTATTTTATGATTAATGCTTATGTTATGATGGTTATTATGATGATAATATTAATATTGAATGTTAAGTATGTAATGTTTTATGTACTAAATGTTTTGGACCATCAAATATGGATTGTCATGAATGCATCATTTTAGATAAAGTTGAAAAAATAGGTAATACTTGTAATTGTGTAAATGGATATTATTTTGATAAATCTAATTAAACATGTATGCAATGCCACCAAAAATGTTCAAATTGTTTTTTATCCTCTGAAGACTCTTGTTTAACTTGCAATAATTTTGAAAATAGAATATTAAATGGACTTAATTGTTCTTGTTAAACTGGATATTTTGAATTAAATGATATTTGTGTCTCATGTCCAAACATTGAAGATTCAAATCTGTATAAATGTTATAAATAATGTGGTGATAATTCTATAATTTGGTTTAATTAAGTTTGCTAACCCTTTTCATGTTTAACTGGATTTACAAATTAAAACAATTAATGTATTCCTATATGTGGAGATCTAATTAAGAATGGGGATGAAGAATGTGATGATGGTAATAATATTTTAGATGATGGATGTTATAATTGTAGATATTAATGTCCAAAATAATGTTTGACTTGTAATGAATTTACAATTTTACCTTGTTTAAATGTATGTGGTGATGGAATCATAAGTGGAACAGAAGAATGTGATGATGGTAATTTGATATAATTTGATGGGTGTTATGAATGTAAACTTGAATGTTAAACCTAATGTACATAATGCATGAGAGGGTTATGCTATTAATGTCAGACTTATGGTTGGATTGTTGACATTGATACAAAAACTTGTGTAGAAAATTGTGGTGATTCTATTGTTGTTGGATAAGAATAATGTGATGATGGATAAGATATTGATTAAAATGATGGATGTTATTAGTGTAAGAATGTATGTAGAAATGATTGTTTAAAATGCAGTTCTGATGGTTCAAAATGTCTAGAATGTAAAGTAGTGGGATTTCAACCTGTTAGTTTTTTTTGTAGAAATATATGTAGGGATGGTTATTTAGCAATTGATCCTTTTAATAGAAATTCAGAAGAATGTGATGATTTTAATTCAATCAATTATGATGGTTGTAGCAATGCGTGTAAATTCTAATGTTAAACTACTATCTGCAAGACTTGTGTAAATAATAAATGTCTTGAATGCATTGATAATTATTAGTTAGATCAAAAAAATAATAAATGCATAGAAATATGCAATGATAACATAATTATTGGATAAGAAAAATGTGAAGATATGAATAGTTTACTTTATGATGGATGTTACAATTGTTAATTATCTTGTCAAGCTAGCTGTTCGAATTGCACTATAAATGGTTGTTTATCTTGTGTTTAAGGATATCAATTAATCGGTATACGATGTGAAAGTATTTGTGGAGATGGATTAACTGTCCCAGAAGAAGATTGCGATGATGGTAATTTAGAACCCTTTGATGGTTGCCATGCATGTAAATATTCATGTAATTCAACTTGTCAGACATGTTACTTAGGTATATGTATACGGTGTTAACTTGGTTTTATGATATATTATGGATTGTGCTAGAATGATCTATCATTCTTTAATAATAAAATTTCAAACTTTGATGAAAGTTTAAATTAGATAATTTTAAATAAGCTTACCAAAGGATTTAATGAATTTTGTAAGGAGGCCATTAATGATATTTGCTTAGTATGCGAAGATAATTATTATCTTAATTCTATAACATCCATTTGTCAAAGTTAATGCGGAGATGCTAAAATTAGTGGATATGAATAATGTGATGATGAATTACATATTAGTAATATTATTTGTAACTAATGCTAACTCCTTTGTAATCAAAATTGTACTTATTGCTAATTGGGAATATGTTTATCATGTGAAGAAGGATATTTTTTAAGATTGAAAACAAATTTATGCGAACCTGCAGTATAATGCACTGAAATTGGATTATATCCTGATTTGAATAACAATGTTTGCTTTGATATTTGTGGAGACGGCCTGTTATCATAAAGTGAATAATGTGAAGATGATAATGATATTGCTTATGATGGATGTTATAAATGTAAATATTCATGTTATCCTGCTTGCCCATTATGTATTTTAGGTTAATGTTTTGATGATGGTAATGCTTGTAAATTAGGTTATTATTTTGATACTTAAATAGCATAATGTTTCAACATTTGCGGTGATGGTATTCTTGCAATACCTGATGAAGAATGCGATAATGGAATGTAATTAAATGATCAAGATGATCAATGTCAAAATTGTAAGATTATCTGTAATAAGACTTGTTAAATCTGTGATAAAAATAATTAATGTATTTAATGCAAGAAAAATTATGAAATTTTAAATGGAAAATGTTATCCAAAAGATTTGAATCATAAACTCTGCTAGATAGATAATTGCGAATATTGTGAAGATTCTTAATGCCTTACTTGTTTGACTGGTTATATCTACCATTCAAATAAAAATGAATGTACACCAGTTTGNGAGGGTTATGCTATTAATGTCAGACTTATGGTTGGATTGTTGACATTGATACAAAAACTTGTGTAGAAAATTGTGGTGATTCTATTGTTGTTGGATAAGAATAATGTGATGATGGATAAGATATTGATTAAAATGATGGATGTTATTAGTGTAAGAATGTATGTAGAAATGATTGTTTAAAATGCAGTTCTGATGGTTCAAAATGTCTAGAATGTAAAGTAGTGGGATTTCAACCTGTTAGTTTTTTTTGTAGAAATATATGTAGGGATGGTTATTTAGCAATTGATCCTTTTAATAGAAATTCAGAAGAATGTGATGATTTTAATTCAATCAATTATGATGGTTGTAGCAATGCGTGTAAATTCTAATGTTAAACTACTATCTGCAAGACTTGTGTAAATAATAAATGTCTTGAATGCATTGATAATTATTAGTTAGATCAAAAAAATAATAAATGCATAGAAATATGCAATGATAACATAATTATTGGATAAGAAAAATGTGAAGATATGAATAGTTTACTTTATGATGGATGTTACAATTGTTAATTATCTTGTCAAGCTAGCTGTTCGAATTGCACTATAAATGGTTGTTTATCTTGTGTTTAAGGATATCAATTAATCGGTATACGATGTGAAAGTATTTGTGGAGATGGATTAACTGTCCCAGAAGAAGATTGCGATGATGGTAATTTAGAACCCTTTGATGGTTGCCATGCATGTAAATATTCATGTAATTCAACTTGTCAGACATGTTACTTAGGTATATGTATACGGTGTTAACTTGGTTTTATGATATATTATGGATTGTGCTAGAATGATCTATCATTCTTTAATAATAAAATTTCAAACTTTGATGAAAGTTTAAATTAGATAATTTTAAATAAGCTTACCAAAGGATTTAATGAATTTTGTAAGGAGGCCATTAATGATATTTGCTTAGTATGCGAAGATAATTATTATCTTAATTCTATAACATCCATTTGTCAAAGTTAATGCGGAGATGCTAAAATTAGTGGATATGAATAATGTGATGATGAATTACATATTAGTAATATTATTTGTAACTAATGCTAACTCCTTTGTAATCAAAATTGTACTTATTGCTAATTGGGAATATGTTTATCATGTGAAGAAGGATATTTTTTAAGATTGAAAACAAATTTATGCGAACCTGCAGTATAATGCACTGAAATTGGATTATATCCTGATTTGAATAACAATGTTTGCTTTGATATTTGTGGAGACGGCCTGTTATCATAAAGTGAATAATGTGAAGATGATAATGATATTGCTTATGATGGATGTTATAAATGTAAATATTCATGTTATCCTGCTTGCCCATTATGTATTTTAGGTTAATGTTTTGATGATGGTAATGCTTGTAAATTAGGTTATTATTTTGATACTTAAATAGCATAATGTTTCAACATTTGCGGTGATGGTATTCTTGCAATACCTGATGAAGAATGCGATAATGGAATGTAATTAAATGATCAAGATGATCAATGTCAAAATTGTAAGATTATCTGTAATAAGACTTGTTAAATCTGTGATAAAAATAATTAATGTATTTAATGCAAGAAAAATTATGAAATTTTAAATGGAAAATGTTATCCAAAAGATTTGAATCATAAACTCTGCTAGATAGATAATTGCGAATATTGTGAAGATTCTTAATGCCTTACTTGTTTGACTGGTTATATCTACCATTCAAATAAAAATGAATGTACACCAGTTTGCGGTGATGGAATAATTCTTGGTGAAGAAGTTTGTGATGATGGTAACAGCATTAATGGAGATGGTTGTGATTCAAATTGTAAACCTTCTCTAAATAGTTAATGTGTAAATAATCAATGTGTTTATATTTCACACCCTATGCCATTATTGAAATTTATAAAAGAGATAGATAATTCTTAAATTGTATATTTGACTTATGACCAATATGTCAAATTATAATACAATTATTCAATTGCAATTTTTATTAAGTCCATTAATTCATAAATAAATAATAAATTAGCAAATGTAACATTTTCTGAAATAAGTTAAATAGATTAAGAATCTTATAAATAATTATAAATGGAAATTTAGATTTAGTATGAAGAAATAGTAACTAATCCTATATTTTCTATTCACTTTAATGACCTAAATATCATCATAAACGAATTCGAAATGATATCAAATTAATAAGATATCTCAATATAATTACCATCTCCAAATGTTTTATCCGAAAAACAAAAATTAATGACTTAATCTCTTATAAAATTTAGTGGATACTAAATTAAAATAATAGCAGGTTTAATTGTAGCATCATCTTTAAGTGGAAAATTTGAAATCATTCAAAATCAAATTGATTCTATTTAATAACTTTATTACTTAAAATATATTAATACTCGAAAAGGACAAAATTTAATATAATTTTTTGAAACATTTAGGATTATTTAACTCACTAATTTTTATGATTTTTTAGGATTCAATCCTTCTAATGATTTATTTTTTGGATTCTCTTATTAAAAATCAGAAGATATTTTTGAAGAGGATGGACGCAACGCAAATTATTTTAATAATTTCATTTAAATCTCAACTGTTTTTCTTTGTGCTTATTTAGCTCATTTAGTTATTAGGACTTTAATTAAGTAATCTATGAATTAGATTTAGAATTTAAACATTGTTAATCTTAATATGTTGCCATTATCGGCGTTAAAAAAAATTACTAGATTTTCAATAAATAATGTTAGAAATAAATTTAATGAATAGTTTAATGGATTACTTTAATCACTCATTTATGAATATACTATATCTTCATTCTTATCTTTGATGTATTAAGATTTTAATTAAGTTGAAGGAAAATTGAGTCTAATCGTGAATGGAGGAATCATCTATCTATTATTTTATTATTTATTATTTTAATAGCATTCAAACAAGAAATAAAATATTTATTTTACTTACTCATGTTTATAAAAGTTTATATTTGGAACTATTTTGATAGTCTGTTTTAAATCTCCGATGCTTCAAATTTAATTATGTGCTTTAAATGACTTTATTTATTTTTCCCATTTATTTAAATAAAAGCCTTTAATTGACAAATTCGAATTATTAAAAAAATAATTGACTCATTTTATTTTATTTATCATAAATATAATTTATTTGATAAATGAATTATATAAAAATGATCCATTCAGGATAGTATAAATAGGATGGTTTATTATTGCAATGATGAGTTCTATATTAAGCATAACATTGCTGATTGATATCTGCAAAATATTCTAACCATTTGTATAAACCCTAATAAATAGACTAAAATCATAGACACCCATTTTTAAAAATCATGAAATATTGGATCAAATTTAATAAAGAAATTAAATGTGAGTATTTAATTTATTTAAAAATAAAATCAATTGAAAAATAATCTAAAATAGAGAACTTTAATATCATTTTTTACATACCTTATTCTTATTCTTTTCATCAGAAAATTTAAATGAAAATAATTAAAATTTAATAATGCCCAATTATTTCGATATATATCTTCCAACTATAAAAATTATGGTTAGAAGACCAATACAAAACTTGAGAAAAGTTTGCTAGAGAATATTTTGAGTTAAAATGGACGTTTAGTTGCATAATTAGATCCATTAAAATTAATAGAGAGCAAATATAAAGGTATAATATATTAAACTATGAGTGTTTGAATATTCAATTCAATTACATGAAGAAATATTTTGGAGATGAATTAGACATATTTTATTTGAATTTATCTTTATTTAATCAATTCAGTTCTCTAAAATCAACATTATAAAACCAAACTTTGATCTGCATCAATATTTTCTTGATAATAGTTTAGGTAGATTCAAAAACTCTATAGATATGGTAAACAGCCAATCAAATGCTTTTGGATTTGTAGGGAGGTAGGATTAATGAAGACTAAATAATTTTTTTAGAGGAAAATTTAGAGTTAATAAAAATTAAAGTGATTTAAAGAATAGTCTATTATAAAATTCATCAAATTATTACTTTCACAATTTAATTATCAATCTATTAATTTTGAAAATTATTTTAAAAGTTTTTTTTTTAAAAGAAATGGAAGGACTATTTCTTCAGACTTTGTATAAGAAATGATGGAAAATTTGTTTAATAGTAAAAATATTTTTTTCCTAACTTTGAATTAATCAGTTTATGGATATAAAATATTTCTTGCGCATATTTAGTTGGATCTCAATAATCTTGGAAGTATTCAATATTGGTTAAATTAACTGAAAACTTTTTAGAAAAGGAGCATTAATTAAGCAAATAATTGAATGAAAAATGTATTTTCAAAAGATAACTTTTAATATATATCTTCAAATATCTGAAATTTTTATAATAACTTAAATTTACCTTTTTCAGTTAAACAAATAAAGACTGATAAGTTCGATGAAACTAGGTTATCAAATACTTAATAAAATAATGTCTTTTATAGTTCTTTCATAAAAAATTGTCAGTAAAGACTTACAATATATATAAACAAATGCTTAAGATATTTTAACATAATTTATATAAATAATAGTACCTATGAGTTGAATTATTACACCATATCAAATTATTTAAAAATTATTTTTATATAAATCTCAATATATTGATTAGTTTATAATAGGAGTTAAATAAATAACAATAGTAACAATTAAAATTTTTATGGTGAAAAATCAAAAGTGGCTTTATCTGATTTTTTTTCACTAAAGATGTAAGATTGATAGAAAATTATGGAGCAAATATGTAGGCAGGTTAAATATATAATGATAAATATTAAACTTGACAGTTTTTTATATAAAAAAATTTTCACTTTATATATTTCTTCTGGAAAAAAGTCTAGGCTATGTTTTATGGTTTAATCCTTACAAAAGAAGTCATTTGAATGTTTCAAATATGCAGTTATTCTTGCTTTTTCATTTAACAAGAATTCTAATATGACATTAATATGCCAAGATTGAAATCTGGATCTTGATGAAAAAATTAATTGTAAATTAAATATTTAAGATTTAAAATTTGTTGAATTGATGAAAAAGATCTAATATCTGATGTTCTTTTAAATAAACAATCATAAGGATATAGATATTCAAGTACATCTTAATTACATTCAAGCATACTAATATGTAAATCATCTACAAATGATAAATGAGCATTTTAGAATAGTTATGAATCTAAATGAATCAATTTAACAGATGTCTTAATTATTAGTTCAACAATTTCCTTTTATCCTTTAGAAAGATAAAAATGGATTAATGCCAACACTGCCAAAGAAGGTTTTACTTATTCTCCAAATAGATCCAGAATATTCTTAAAATATTATTCCTTGGTGATGGAATAATTCTTGGTGAAGAAGTTTGTGATGATGGTAACAGCATTAATGGAGATGGTTGTGATTCAAATTGTAAACCTTCTCTAAATAGTTAATGTGTAAATAATCAATGTGTTTATATTTCACACCCTATGCCATTATTGAAATTTATAAAAGAAATAGATAATTCTTAAATTGTTTATTTGACTTATGATGAATAGGTAAAATTATCATTCAATTATTCAATTCCAATTTTTATTAAGTCTATTGATTCAAAAATAAATAATAAAGTAACAAATGTAACCATTTCTGAAATAAGTTCAATAGATTAAGAATCTTATAAATACCTATAAATGGAAATTTAGATTTAGTATGAAGAAATAGTAACTAATCCTATATTTTCTATTCACTTTACTGACCTTAATATAATCATAAATGAATTCGGAATGAAATCAAATTAATAAGATATCTCCATATAATTACCATCTCCAAATGTTTTATCTGAAGAACAAAAATAAATAACTTAATCTCTTGTAAACTTTAGTGGATACTAAATTAAAATGATAGCAGGTTTAATGTTAGCATCATCATTAAGTGGAAAATTTGAAATCATCCAAAATCAAATTGATTTAATTTAATAACTTTATTACTTAAAATATATTAATACTCGAAAAGGACAAAATTTAATATAATTTTTTGAAACATTTAGGATTATTTAACTCACAAATTTTTATGATTTTTTAGGATTCAATCCTTCTAATGATTTATTTTTTGAGTTCTCTTATTAAAAATCAGAAGCTGTTTTTGAAGAGGATGGACGCAATGCAAATTATTTTAGTAATTTCATTTAAATCTCAACAGTTTTTGTTTTTGCTTATTTCACTCATTTAGGTATTAAAATTTTGATTAAGTACTCTATGAATAAAATTTAGAAATTTAAAATTTTTAATCTTAGTAAGTTACCATTATTTGGATTATAAAAAATTACGAGATTTTCAATAAATAATTTTAGAAATAAGTTTAGTGAGTAGTTTAAAGGATTGCTTTAATCACTCCTTTATGAATATATAATATCTTCATTCTTATCTTTAATATATTAAGATTTTAATTAAGTTGAAGGAAAATTGAGTCTAATAGTAAATGGAGGCATCATTTATCTATTATTTTATTATTTATTATTTTAATAGCATTCAAACAAGAAATTACATATTTATTTTGCTTACTCATGTATATAAAAGATTTTATTTGGAACTATTTTGATAGTCTTTTTTAAATCTCCCATACTTTAAATTTAATTATGTGCTTTAAATGACTTTATTTATTTTTATCATATATTTAAATTAAAGAGATTGCTTGACAAATTCGAATCATTCAAAAAGTAATTGACTCATTTTATATTATTTATCATAAATATAATTTATTTGATAAATGAATTATACAAAAATGATCCATTTAAGATAGTATAAATAGGTTGGGTTATTATTGGTATGATGAGCTCAATATTAGGCATAACATTACTGGCTGATATCTGCAAAATATCATAACCATTTGTATTAAACTTAATAAATAGACTAAAATCATAGAGTCCCATTTTTTAAAATCATGAAATATTTGTTCAAATTTAATAAAGAAATTATATGTGACTATTTAATTTATTAAAAATAAAAGTGAATAAATATCAATAAAATGAGAATTATAATATAATTTTTTTAATTTTTTATTCTTTATTCTTTAATCAAAAAATTTAAATCATATAATTTTATAATTTAATAACAATTTAATTATATACAATAATTATGAAGAATTATAAATTTTCAATTAAGAATTACAATTAATTTACCTAAATAAATCTTGATACAAACATTAAAAAAAAATATGGACTTTTATTTGCATTATTTGATCAATTAAAATTAATAGAGAAGTTAAAATCGATATGATTCATAATTAATTTATTAAAAGATATGCCAAAAGTTTAGATTTAAATATAAAATACTAAGCTAATTTTAATGTCAAAAATATTTTGAAGAAGGATGGAAAGAATATTGAAGAATTAAGTATATAAACAAAATCTTATCATTAAGTTTAGGAGTAGAATTTAAATAAATTGAAGATCAAAAAGAGATGTAATGGCTACATGAAAATAATGAAAAATTTATGAATGAAGAAATTATATAGGCTAATTGGATGCTGTAGATCATTATTATCATAAAATTTCAGTGCTTTTATAAGGTATGCTGGAGAAGGATAATAGATGTAATTGTGGCTTTAAGAGCAATCTATGGCTAAGCTGTAGAATCAGAATAGATGTTGTATAATCAATAGCATATAGATGAAGCTTCCTAATAAAGAGCAGTTTTCTAGATCACTCTCCAAGTGATTTTTTTAGAAAAATAATGAGGTAAAATGATTTAATATAAAAATATACTTTTGGTGTTTGATATTGATCACTTGTCGATATCAAATTAAAAAAAAATTTAAATAACAAAAGCTCAACAATTAAAGTTTTCCATTAGCCATCTCATTTAGATACTGCTAATCCAGTTAGTTAGTAGAAAAAAAAAGGTAAGAAAGTTTATTATGATATTTTGCAAAAGAATACAGACAGAAAGAATAAATGATATTCTAATTGATATTGTAACCCATAGAAATTATGACGATATAGAAGTGGATGATCCTTTCTTTACTTAAGGAATATAGCAAAATTAGATAAAAGATATTCGCCTATTTAGATTCTGTATTAGAAAAAGTGAAAATCATGATGTAAACATTAGCTAAAGTCACAGATGATAGATCAAAAGCATTTACATAGAAATTGAGTAAAATTAAAAACAGTCATTTTTTTGAATAGGATGCAAAAATTGGAATAATTAAGGATTTTAAAACCAATCTAGCAAAATATTCAGTTTTTAACTAAACTTTAATCTAAATCTTGGATTATAGATATATTTCATTAATGATCGTTAGATTAAATTCAAAAATACTCTACAGATTGGGCAACAAGAATTATTCAAAGTAAGATTGAGTAGAGAAGATTTTGAGAGAGGAAGTTTTCGTTAAGTATATTTGATCAATTTTTTGAATTTTCCAATACAGCATATGTCTATTACTTTTATAAAATGTTCAGAAAATGGATGTAATAAAGTAGTTTAGTTTACTTGAATTTTAAAGGTGGTTATAATAAAGAGTATATATTTAAACTTGTAATTCACAATTCCATTCAATCCTAGTTCTTTAAGAAGATAAATGCCGAAATAGTTTAGAAATTCTTTGGTCCTTGCAAATACTAAATCATTTAATAATTTATTTTCTATTAAGATGGAACAAAGCTAAAAGTAAATTTAAAAATCTAAGTGAAAATAATTCTGTTCACTTCAATTTTTAACATTTAACAAATAAATTAAAAGTAATAAATTTGGAAAAAATCTAAAGTTTCCGATAAATCAATTGACAGATATGAAAATTGATTAAACAGTAACAATAAAATTAAATTTTATAATTTTGAATTAATTAGTTTATAGATGTAGAATGTTTCTATTACATATCTGTTACTGATTTTTAATTAGGCCTTAATAATCTAAATATTAATATTTCGGAGATTTTTGTGATAAATTTAAAGGAAAATAAATATTTATTATAGGTATTAAGTAAATAAATTGAACAAAACAAATTTCAATTTCAATAAGCATCTTTCAATATAAATCTCAAAATATCTGAAATTGTAATAATAGCTTAAATTTATTTGTTTTCAGCTAAACAAATCAAAGCGGAACTGTCTGATAAAACTAGATTTTCAACAACCTAATCAAATAAATTTGATTACTTCTTTTATAGTTTAATCCATACTAAAAAATTGTTTAGAATAGTATAAATAAGCAGGTATTCTTGCTTTTTCATTTGACAAGAACACTAATAATTAAGACGCTGTCTAAGAAAACTATTTTTCAATTAAGATAATTTACCAATTCAAATAACCCATTTTTTATGATCAAAATAATGTCTCTTCTGTTAATTTATCCAAGATATTAATCATTATTGTTAACAATAGGGATAACATAAGATTTATGATTATGCATCATAGTATAAAATACTCTTGTTTAAAATTAAATAGATACTAATAAACGGTTTCATTCTCTTTACAAGTTATAATTTCTTTTGATCGATTGTAAGTAGAAAAAAATACTTTAATACTTATTTAATGTTAAGATAAAATGTTATTTTATTATTTTAATATTGCTCCTAAATATTAAGTAAAGCCTTTAATTAAAAATGACAATATGTCCTTTTAATGAATAACTCCTTGAAACATTAATGTCTCTGGATCAACAACAAAAAGTCGACTAGTACCAGACTTCACTATTTTGACACAAGCATCATATAACCTTTCATCATTTCTTCCTTGAACAAATCCAATTGAAGATTCCAACTATTTTCAATAAAAATGAGTAATTACATCATCTTTCAATATGCGATTCCATTATCTTATGGAAATAGTTTTCATTTCATAAATTAATCTTAATTTTTAATCATCGTTCAATTCACTTGGTTATTATTTCTATGATTGAATCTTCTAGATACTTTCTTCTTAATCTTCACTTTCCTCTTCAATTACATTAAATAAGGGGCCAGACTGTTATACTTAATTAAATTTAATTTTATACATGAAGATTTATTGTTATATGCATTTTCGTATAATTTCAATAGTACTTTTATTAAATCTGAGTGTGAGAATACACCATCATAATTGGAAATGTCAGAATTCCAAAATAACGTTTCTTCTAAGTTCTCCTCAACAAAGATCTAAAATACTTCCCAACAAGTGAATGTCTAATCTAATACGATCAACTTTTTATTTAATCATACTGATACTTAATTGTGATGGGCTAAACAATCATATAGAGTATTATCTTTTAGAAATTAAGTAATCGTGTCTTTGTATTTACTAATTTCTTAAGTTGAGATTTATAATTAATTCATAATATAAATTTTATATCATTAATTGAGCTCTGCCTTATTGAATCAATAAATCTAAAATTCTACATTTAATTTATGTATAATTATCTATTCAATTATATTAAAATCTAAAGGCATCTCAGATTCTTTCACTTCCAAAGGATCATAAATTACTATCTTGAAAGGTACATATTCTAATTTAAAATAATGTAAGTCATATTTAATAGATTTATTAATCTTAGCTAATAAGCCATTTCTTAGACAAGCTTAACTTAATTAATTTGATAAATGGAATTCTTTTAAATCATACACGAATTTATACTTTCCATTCTATTTATCAAGTTTAATCATTATTAGGAAAGTCTCTAATTATACTTTTTGTAACATGTAACAAATATGTAAAAATTCTAAAAGGGTAAAACTATGTCTGAAGATTGTTTTCTTAAGTTATTTTAAAAATAATTGAGGGGGATGTAGTGTTAAAATTACATAACTTGAATCAGTTTCGCACACTTGCTTTAAACATTTTTTATCTAGATCGATTATACATTCTTATTATTAATCTTAATTTACTTGCTTGTTTTATTTTTAATTATCTTAAAGTGCTTTGATCATATATGTCAAATCCTATTTCTTTCATTCTTGAATTATGAAATTATCTAATATAAGTTCTTTATTTTCCAAAATTAATTCTTTAGCACTATGCTAAAAAATGATAATTACATATTATTATATTGTACAAAATTTATTTCCAATTAAATGCAGAACATCTGAATTTGTTATATAAATTTCTTCAAATTACCCTGAATCCTAAAAGTAGGCTGATAATTTTGGATATTGAATATCAATGATACCTATATCTTCTACAGAAATTATAGTTGAAGTAGAAGGAATCTAATATTTTTAAAATTGATCTTGATGTTGTCCGATATTTATGTTTTCATTTTGATTTATTTAAAGATTTTCACATATATATTTTGTAATCAATGAAATAGATTCTAAATGCATTAATTGAATGGTTTCTTCAAAATTCAATTTTCTTATGAAATTTCCAAATTTTATTGTAAATGTATTAAAAGTCAATATAACAGCATATGAATTAGTGAGCACTATTTTTTAATAACAAATTTATGTTTTAGGTATAATTTCAACTAATTTTGGTGTTTCAACATCTTAGAACGAAATTGAATTTAGTTGTTTGTCAATTAAGTTTTTTTTTGGAGATCTAGATCCAAATTTTTATTCTTGAAAAATTAAACTCTACTGCATTTAATCATTGTCACATAGATATTAGAAATTTTTGATATCTACATTTTTTTTTAAAGGTGAGAGAATTCTTGGTTTTCTTAAATTAAAATTAATCATTTTGGCTCTTTTTATTAAACAAGCCATAATAATATAATAGTCATATCTTCAAACATCCCTTCATTCAATATCCAACTGTTCTTGCATTACTTATATAATGATTCACAAGCTGATTTAATATCGTGAAGAGAAAATCCACTTAAATGATTCATTACATCATTTTCATCTTGATAGGCATATACTGATGCAGTTGATAATATTAAGAAGGTGTCTTTAATGGTTATATCATATTCTCTAAAAAATGGTTGAGATGATACTCCAATGACATGGGCTATCACATCACCTAAACTTCTAGTCACATGCAATTATGGATACAATCTGCCTCTAACAAAAACATATTCTTCCCCCTGAGGAATCTTTCTAACTTCTCCTCCACTATTAAAAATCCTTGCTTTTTCAGAACTTTCATTTGGTGTATGTATTGGTAATGTTTAGGCTATAATATTACTTTCTCTGTTCTAATTGACTTATTCTTTATAGATATATGTTCTATTATCTCCAATTTAAGCACAATATAATTTGGAATCTCTTTAAATAATAACTAAATATAATGATTAATAATTTACCTGTTATAACACAACCACTAAGCAATATATTGTGAGTATCATCCAATTTCTTTTTTTCGATATGCATTTTTAATTTGTTTTATAACTTTTTAAATATAGTCTCTAATCCTCTCATAGGATTAGTATAAAAGGTTGATGTTCTGATTAAGTAATGAAATACCATTCTATAAGTTAAATTACTGATTTTTTCACCAAATTCTCCATGTCCATTACTTAATATCAAGATTTTTTGATAATTATCATTGTAAATTAAATAATCTTAAGCTAAAGGTGCTGTATCATTTTTATTACCTTTTTTACTAATAACAGCTATTCCAATTTAATTTAATAATTATTCAGGAGAATAATCAGTCTATATTTCTGATTTTGAATCATTTTAATTTTTAATAGAATCCTCTGATTCTGAATCTTATAGATTTTATCTACAGGATAATTTGACTAATTTATCTTTTCCTGGTAATAATTTCTATTCACTAATTTGAGTTCTGATATATAATTAACAAAGTGGATATTAATGAGGTAAAGATAATTATCTTAAATTAATAGTTTCAGCAATATCTTTTATTTCAAAATTAGCTAAAAATTATTAATCAGATCTTGAATTTATACTGCTTTTTCTTGATGTAATATTTTCTTCAGCTTAATAAATTAGTTATTTTATTTTTTTAGTGTTATCATCTCTTTCTTCAAATGAATCATCACTTTAGAAATTTTAGAATTTTGTTTATCTTCTATCATTATATAATTGTTTTTCTTCAATATCACTTTCTTCTTCACTATCAGTATGAAAAGAATTCTTTTTCTTTTAATGTGGAAAATGCATTTTACTTGATTTAACAGATGGACTAGAAGATTTTGAAATTTAATCACTGTCATCAGAATAAACAACAGAAGACTTTTGTTCTAATTTAATAGTTTATTTAGGTGATTTATTCTAAAATTATGATTCCATAAAATTCTTAGTTTCTAAATTTTTAAACATTGTCATTTTAGTTGTCCATTTTCTTGATAATTGTGATTATTCAATTCCCACTCCTTCATCAATAAATATATTATTCTGAGCTGGTAAATTTAAATTTTATTACTCTTATTCTATACTAGCACCACTACCCATAGATCAATCTATTTAATGTTTATAATGCTTTATTAACAAATTTATTATAAAATAACTTATAAACTAAACTATACTGATTAAAATTCNACCATTCTATAAGTTAAATTACTGATTTTTTCACCAAATTCTCCATGTCCATTACTTAATATCAAGATTTTTTGATAATTATCATTGTAAATTAAATAATCTTAAGCTAAAGGTGCTGTATCATTTTTATTACCTTTTTTACTAATAACAGCTATTCCAATTTAATTTAATAATTATTCAGGAGAATAATCAGTCTATATTTCTGATTTTGAATCATTTTAATTTTTAATAGAATCCTCTGATTCTGAATCTTATAGATTTTATCTACAGGATAATTTGACTAATTTATCTTTTCCTGGTAATAATTTCTATTCACTAATTTGAGTTCTGATATATAATTAACAAAGTGGATATTAATGAGGTAAAGATAATTATCTTAAATTAATAGTTTCAGCAATATCTTTTATTTCAAAATTAGCTAAAAATTATTAATCAGATCTTGAATTTATACTGCTTTTTCTTGATGTAATATTTTCTTCAGCTTAATAAATTAGTTATTTTATTTTTTTAGTGTTATCATCTCTTTCTTCAAATGAATCATCACTTTAGAAATTTTAGAATTTTGTTTATCTTCTATCATTATATAATTGTTTTTCTTCAATATCACTTTCTTCTTCACTATCAGTATGAAAAGAATTCTTTTTCTTTTAATGTGGAAAATGCATTTTACTTGATTTAACAGATGGACTAGAAGATTTTGAAATTTAATCACTGTCATCAGAATAAACAACAGAAGACTTTTGTTCTAATTTAATAGTTTATTTAGGTGATTTATTCTAAAATTATGATTCCATAAAATTCTTAGTTTCTAAATTTTTAAACATTGTCATTTTAGTTGTCCATTTTCTTGATAATTGTGATTATTCAATTCCCACTCCTTCATCAATAAATATATTATTCTGAGCTGGTAAATTTAAATTTTATTACTCTTATTCTATACTAGCACCACTACCCATAGATCAATCTATTTAATGTTTATAATGCTTTATTAACAAATTTATTATAAAATAACTTATAAACTAAACTATACTGATTAAAATTCAATATTGCTTAATAAATTTTGATCCTTCTATAATCAAAATATTATGTAATCTTATTGATATATACTCTAATATATTTAAATAGTAATGAGAATGTTTTCATTTTCTAAATTTCTAATATCATTATTAAAATTTTATAAGATAGGCAATTATATGAATTAATATCTTATAAGAATATATAGAATCTTATTAATTATTTATTTTGACTATTGATAAATCTTTATTATCAATAACACTTTTTAAAAGGTATATTTTTTAAAATTTATATCATAAATATAAATTGGAAAAAATAAATCATAAGCAAACATATTTTCATCATTAATAAAAATAACAATAAGGTATTAAGTAAGAAATAATTTTTATTCAATGAAAAAATCTAAAATAAATTACTATTCTAGTTGAATTATAGAACATAAAATAATTATTAACTTAATGAATTACCAGCACTTTTAATAAGTGATAATTTTCTTAAGAGGTGTTTTTAATAAATAAGACAATTTATATTTATGTAATTTAAATTAATCAACTTTAAATCTGGAGTCCAATCTTTCTTCTTATCTTTATTAATATTTACAAGTCTCCTATGATTATGAATTCTTATTTTATTAAAGACATAAGACATGCTCTTTTACTCTCTTTTCAATATTAGCATCTAATAAATATTTAAATAAATAGCAACTTCTTTCAATTTTGAAAAGTTTACTTCTAATTTATTAATTAAAATTTTAGTGATCTTTTTATTAGAGAATTGTTGTTTATCTTTTTGTATAATAGGGATTTTTGTAATCTTACAGTTGATTTGCTGATAACAATTGTCATATTTAATTAAGTAGTAATTTGGGAAAAGGACAAAAAGACAGCATAATTATTTACTCTAAATTTATCATAATGCTTATTAGTATTTTATTTTCAAATTACTAACATAAGAGTGCTCTTAACAGAAATCATAAATTAATTACAATTTAAATTTTTATTCACACAGATACTTATCGTCTGTTAATTTGTATTAAAAAATTTATAATATGCAAAATTTCGAAGGTGAAACTTTAGTCCGCTAACTGATATCAGATATAAGTAGACCTATTGTTGAAAAGTAACCAAATCATTGTAAAATAGACTTGAAAATGTATAGAAGGAATTCGAAAATATCAAGCTCTTTCTCCATCAACACAATAGAAAGATAGATATTTTGTCAGATTAATCAGATTAATTATCTTTTGATATGTAGTGTAATACAATTTATAATAGCAAACTTAATAATGATGTGATCGAGCAACTAAGAAAGAATACAATAGAAGATTAATAAAAAGTATTTGAAATAGAAAACCATTTAAATTTGGAGTTCAATAAAACTAGATTAGAATAAGGAGCTCTAAAACTAGAACAGGATAGTTTGAAGAAGAATATAAATATATTAGGAGATGTTTAATAAAGTTTGACTGAGAGAATTGAAATATATAATAATTATCTAAGTTAGAAAGTGTATCAACAAGAGTTTGCTATTAGTAATGTCGATACATCTAATTCTAAAATCATCAAATAATTAACAGACATAAATCTCTAAGTAAATAATCAACTATTTATTAGAATCAAGATGAAATATAAACTCAAAAAATACAAACATAAGATATATTATCAAAACTTTAACATAATTCATAAGAACTTAATAAAATCATATGCAGTTAATAATGGATGTAAGATATGATTGTTGAATTAAGATAAAAGTCATAATTCTATGTGACTATTGATCAAATAGATTTAGTATAACAAAATCCATTAAAGAATCTTCCATCAATCATTACTGAGAATTGTTAAATTTCAAAGTATTAATCATATTGTTATTAGTTAAGTAATTAAAGAAGATTTTTAAGAAACTATTGATGAAAAATTTAAAGAACTAAAAAAATATGTTGATAAATAAATATAATAATCAAAAGAATAAAATTCAATCTAAATAGAGGAATTATAAAAAGCATTAGCAACTCTTAAGTAAGATTTTGTTAGAAGACTTCAATAAACTAATTCTAATTTAAAAGATACTAATGAGAAGTTATCAACTTAAATAACTGTAGTCTAAGATTAAAAATTAAATTCTAAATAGTAAATCAGTTAATTTAATGAATAAATCCAAAAATAATTTTTAAAGGTTTCTTAAGATATTTAAACTATTTAAACTAATATAACTGGGTTAGATCTTCGAATGGCAGAAACACATTTAAAGGTTGTTCATGTTTAAGAAAAGTAACAGTAATCATAAGTGGATCAGACAACATTCGAATATTTTAATAATTAAAATGAAATTATAAGTCTTCTGCCTATAAAATAAGATTCCTAATATTCTGATTCTTTTTAATTCAATAATGCAGTTACTTAAAAATTTATAAAAGCTGATTAATCTATTTAATTTCAACCTACTTAATCAATTGGTACAAAAAAGTAAAGAGAAATCTAACTTTTTGAGTCAGATTAAGCACAAACTGTGATATAAAATTTAGATCATTAGAGTAATATAACTACACCTCATATAAAAGTTTAAAATGAAATAATTAAACTAAAGTCAGATTTCTTTAATGAATAACAATACAATCAAAATCAAATGAATAATTTACTTAAATAAAAAACCATTACAGATTAAACATTATAAGAGATTGATAAATAACTAAAATAATTTAATTAATATTTTGGAGTGATTTTTTCTTTAATTTTACATAATGAATTAATTGGAACAGATTATTAAGCAAAGATTTTAGGAAATGGATTTAAGTTTGAATTCTTACCTTTTTAATAGGATGAGAGAACTATTATATCATATTAAAATAATAAGATTTCAAAAATAGATCTTTTAATGAAAACAATTATTAGTACTTATTCCATAATTAAGAAATAAAGATAAAATACATTAGAATTTTAATAAGAAAAAAAGAGACATAATACAGAGACAAGTAGAGATTTATAAAGTAATATTTATAACTATTATTATAGCCATGTATCCTAATAAAAAGAATAGATTCTTAGATGATAAATAATATATTACTTAGACTGAAAGACTCAATTTATCTCTGGATAATACAGCATATCAATAATTACCAAAATAAAAAGTGAAGAAGGTTCTAGTAAAATATAAGAAACTATTGGATTGATTATTTATTTATAATTAATATGGATAATTAATTAATAGCTTTTGTGGGTGATCCTGCAGTTGGAAAGACATCAATTATTAAATATTTAAAAGGAATTGAATTTGATGAAGATTATAGTCCAACAGAATAAATAGAAAGCATAGATGTTACAATTCAAAATAATGAAACTATAACAATTTATGACACTCCAGGCAATGCAACAGAGAGAAAATAAGTAATTGAAATACTAAAGAATGTCTAAATAGTGTTTGTATGTTTTGATGTTGAAAATATTGATTCATTTGATTCAACATTATAATGGTTAGATGATATCAAAAAATAAATAAACAATTCAATGTAAGTTTGTCTAGTAGCTTGTAAAATTGATTCTGATAACAGATAGATTTCTTAAGAGCAAGCATTTGAATTTATTAATGATTATCCAAATGTTGAATATTTAGAAGTTAGTGTAAAAACAGGAGAAAATATGGATATGCTTATAGATGTAACTATATTTAATTATTTATCAGAAAATACCAATAACAACACCTTAAGGGGATGGGGATTTATAATAATCTTATAGAACATAATAATCAAATAAATAATCTGAAAAGCCTGCACATAGTCCTGAAAGATAATCATAGACTTATAAGTCTTAATCAAGCATGCTAAATAAGGAGGAACCTCTTTGGAAGGTATATGACTTTTTATTTCCAACTGGGAGAGTTGCTAAATTAGTTAAGATATCAGATGTTAATGCCAAAAATTTATCCATTTAAGATATTTTATTTAAATTGCAATTAAATTAAAGTTATCCAGTTGTAAATTTGATTGGAGCAAAGGAAACTAATAAAGGTAAATTCTATGCTGGAATTGCAAGGGCTTGTTTTAATACTGTATTAAATTTATTTTATTTGATATTAGGATGCTGTAATAGTAGATAGTGGAATTTCAACAGGAATTGAAAAATATGTTATAAGAAGAGGAGTCAAACTGATTGGAGTTGCTCCAGAATAAGAAGTCAAATATCCAAATTAAAATACTGGATTTATAGATCCTTTTGAAATTAGTAATGGACATACTCATATATTTCTTTTAAGTAATTATGTTTATCATATTTATATAGATAATAAAGAGAAAATGATGGTTTTTGGATTAGAAGGTGTTTTTAAAATTAATTTATGTAAAAAGTAAAAATTTATAGTAATTATTAATTTAGATTGGCTGAAGGAAGATTAGCCAAAAATGGTTAAAGAGAAAGTATGAAAGTTGTTCACATTCTTTTAGGAGAATAAGAAGGATTCTTAAATGAATTATAATAGGCAGTTATGGCTAATCATCCAATTATAGTGATAAAGGGATCTCCTTTATGTGATTAATACTTTTAAAATTATAATAATCCTCATGCAAATTATTCAAACGCAAGTAATGGTTTCTTTTTATATTAAATAGGTTTTGGTTAACTAGTAAGGAAAGGCCACTTTTATGGACTAAATAGTTTGGATTCAGAAGATATAGCCTAATATGTCCATTTCTTTTTGACAGTGACTCCATATAATTGATTAATTATTCTTATGAATTGTAAATTTACGAAATCATATTTTGATGATTCAAAACCTGCTGATTCATTTTGGATCAAATAGCCTCTAGTGATTGAGGAATCTAAAATAGATTATTAATGTCTATTGTTTAAGAAAAGTTATAAAACGGGGTTTTGGGTTAGTAGAAACTACTTAATATATGATTCTCAAATGATCAAGGTCAAAGTAATTGTCATCTTTTTTAAATAGTCAATCACAAAACAATGTCATATAGTAAATTTGAACTTGTCTAGAATTCAAAAGTTAAAATATGAAAATAAATAAGAAAAGGAGAGTTTTAATAAGGTTAATATGTCGTTTAAATTTTATAGAAGAAATATGGGATTCGTATAATACGAAACAATCAATACAGAGAGCTTTACAGTAGATCGAAAGAAATGAATTAATAATTATGGGATAAATTAAGAAAGTGTGCTATTCTTACAAAATTCAAAGAGGATTACACATTAGAGAAGTTGATTGGAAAGGGCAATTTTGCAAAGGTGTATTAAACAATAAATAAAGAAACAAAGAAATTGTATGCTGTAAAAATATATGAAAAATCGAAAATAAATAATTCTGAAATGGACCGATTGGCTTTGGTAAAAGAAATGGCCATAATGAGATAGTTAAATCATAAGGCTCTCATTAAAATGTATGAAGTTTATGAAGATGAAACAAATATCTTCTTTATATTAGAATATTTAGAAGGAGGAGAATTATATAATCACATTTAAAAAAATTAAAAATTCCCTGAAAAAGTAGTGGCCAAAATTTTGGCTACAATATTAGATTCATTAGATTACTTATAAAAATAAAATATTTTGCATAGAGATTTAAAACCTGATAATATTATATTAAGAAACAAAGGCATATTGGATGATGTTGTTATTACTGATTTTGGTTTGGCTGACTATTATTCGTAAAATGGAAATTATATGTTTTCTAGATGTGGTACTCCAGGATTTGTTGCTCCTGAAGTATTATAAGATAAATTATATAATCATAAAATTGATGTCTTTAGTGTAGGTTGTTTAATGTACTTACTTTTAACTCATAAACATGCATTTAGAGGATCAAATTATGATGAAGTAGTAATGAAAAATTATCATTGTAAAGTAGATTATTAATCAATCGAAAATGAAATATCATTTGATGCATTGTAATTATTAAAGTAGCTTCTCCATCCAAAACCATTATATAGACCTTCAGCCAGGATAGCATTAAAGCATAAATGGTTTGAAATCAATTTGGATGAGGTTAGATTTAAATAATTGAATTGTGATCTCTCTGATACGAAAGACTCAACAATCAAGTCAAGTTTGAGTGATATACCTTATATAAATCTGAAAAAGAATAATAATTCAAAATTAAATTTCTCGACTCCTCAATAACAATAATTTCTTTAAAAAGGCAAAGAATCTTAATTATTTACACCATAAGTAATGTAACAAATTGATGAATCTTTAGATGATAACATAAATTCATTAAAAATATTAGATGATACTTTTACAGATATTCAGGTTGAGGAGGAATCTCCATAATCGCATCTTCTACCTCAATATTAAATTATAAGTAAAATAAAATTAGTTGTAAATTCGAAAGTTTCATCACTTTATGGATCTCCTATGATATTAGTAATGATATAATTAAATTATAATCTAGAATACTCCTGATGTAACAGCTAGAAAGTTAACCCAGGGTAATTAAAAATAAGAGATTCAACAGAATCAACCTCAAAAATTAGCTAATAAAGTAATGAATAATTTAAAAAGTCTTGAATCTTAATGATGATTATATATTTTCTATGAGATTTATAAATGAGTAGAATAATAAATACTTCATTATTAATGTTGTATCCTTTATGGTACTTGAGAAAGCTAACTTTATTATGTAAAATTATAACCAAGTTAATCGTTTAATGAGAATTCCATAAAAATTTAATTGTCTTTAATATATATCCTTTTGGGTAATACAATTGCTTTAAAGACAAGTAATTAAAAAATAACAAAAGGGATTTAAATTTCATATAAATAATCAATAAATATTTCTATTTCCAATATGAAATGTAAATATTAATTAATTTATTTATTTAACATATAT